TTTCTTTCAGGACCTGAAATACTTTACTCCAAGCTCTTCTTCTTCTTCTTCTTTTTTTTTTTAATTTTATTTATTTATTTATTTATGTGTGTGTGTGTGTGGCCAGCTCAGCTCACCAGGGGGCGGGCTGGCTGGCACGTGGTGCTGGGGGATTGAACGGCGGTCCCTGTGCTTTTCTAAGCTTGTTCTAAGTAGGTGCTTTAGACCACTGAGCCATCTCACCAGCCCCCCAAGCTCTTCTTGATGTGATGGTCTGTGCTGAGAACCCTGCTGTGCTCCTGACGGGCCTTCCATTATAGGTGATCTGCTTTTTCTCTCACAGCTTTTATTACCTTGTTCTTTTCCTGAACTTGTGGGATCTTAATTATTTTGTGTCTGAGTATATATTTGTTTTGGTGATGGCTAATTGAGTTGTTTTTTTTTTTTGACAGGTTTACTTCATTTTATTTTTCTTATGTAAAAACTCTTTATGTTTGTAGCTTGACTGCTGGAGCTTGAGTCCTCTGGACAGAGACTCTGGTGTGGGTTTTCTCAAGATGGTCGGTGAATTCCTGATAGGGAGACTTGGTGAACACGGTCTCTTTCCAGAGGTTGGGGGTCAGATAGCTGGAGGTCTTGGAGATGGCATCAAAGGTGGCCTTGGCAAAGTTGCTCAGAGTAGCAGTGCAGCCCCTAGCAGAGGTGTAGCAGTCATCAGTACCAGCCATCAGCAGCAGCTTCCTGGGCACAGGGGCTGAGACGATGCCAGTGCCTCTGGGGGCACGGATCAGACGCGTCAACACAGAGCCACAGCAGCCTGTCACCTTGCAGGGAACAGCGTGGGGCTTGCCAATCTTGTTTCCCCAGTAGCGTCTCCTCATGGGGACAGTGGAGAGCTTGGCCAGGATGATGGCCCCGCGAATGGCAGTGGCTACTTCCTTGGAACACTACACCCAGGCCAACATGACCGTTGAAGTCCCCAATGGCGACAGATGCCTTGAACCTGTTCCACTGGCCAGCACGAGTTTGCTTTTGCACAGGCATGATCTTCAGAACTTCATCCTTGAGGGATGCACCCAGGAAAAACTCAATAATCTTGGACTCCTTGATGGGTAAGGAAAAAAGGTAAATTTCCTGCAGGGCTTTGATCGTCATGTCTGGCCAGCCGGCCCAGCTTGGTGATGGAATCCACTCTTTGTCCTCGGCCTTAGTGCCGGGAGCCCCGTGGCCTCGGCCCCAGCCCCGGCCACTGCCATTCCCATGACCTTGAAGGCCACTGCCGAAGCCTCCCATGCCTGGGCCCCTGCCGCTGCATCATCCGCCATTTGGTGTTTCCCAGAAAAAGAAGGTAATTGGAGTTCCATATGCATCACTTATAGGTATGTCCGTTCTCTTCCCGCGCTTGGGGAATTTTCTGCTACACCTGCAAATAATCTTTTTACGTCAGTGGTGCTGACTCCTTGTTCCGTGGACACCTATTTTTCTTAGATCATTTTCCTTTGCATCGTCTTGTCGCTGCTGGATTGCTAGTTCTTGGCTCCCCGGTGTCCCCAAGCGCGCTTCCTATCGTGATCACTAGCAGCCCTGCTGTCTTAAAGTCTGGAAGTCTAGCCTCAGCTTCACACGAGCCGTTTTGCCGCTTTCAGGGGCTTCTTAATTTCCCTAGTATCTGTTCGAATCTGTTTCATGCATCCAACTTTTTCCTGTGTTGTTTGTTCAATGTTTCGATCATTTTTCTATTCTCTATTTTTTATCTATCCCTTCTTTAGATATGCTGAGTAATTCTTTTATGATTGTTTTCATTTCCTGCTTTACCTGAGAGATTATTTCTGATCTAATTTCTTCTACAATCTGATGCAGTTGTCTCTTTACTTTAGTTGCTATCATTTCAGAAATTTCAGGTGTGTGACTTCCAAGTTCTTCTACGCCCTTGTCTCTTGGACTTGTTCCGGGTGGGCTGGAGGTCTGAGCTTGTCTTTTGCTCCTCAGTTTTGACATTTTTTTTTTTAATATTTATTTATTTATTTGTGTGTGTGTGTGTGTGTGTGTGTGTGTGTGTGTGTGGCCAGCTCAGCCCACCAGGGGGCAGGGCTGGCTGGCATGTGGTGCTGGGGGATTGAACCGTGGTCCCTTGTACTTTGCCAAGCTTGTTCTAAGTAGGTGCTTTAGACCACTGAGCCATCTCACCAGCCCCAGTTTTGACATTTTTGAAGACCCTAATGTTCACCCAGATTCAGCAGTGATGGGAGGGGTACAAGGCATGGGCCAGCAAGGCTCCTGTGACAGTGGGGGTGGGGTGGGGTAGGCCCACCAGAGCTCCTGTTATGTGGGGCTCAGGGTGGCTACGCCATGGTGAAGGGCGAAGCCGCAGCTCAGGAAGGCTCTGAGGCTGGGGGGCGGTGGTCAGAGCTCCACAAAGCTCCTGAGGCTGTGTGAGGGCGGGGCAGGACTTAAGGACTCACCAGGCCCCCGTAGCTGCCCAGTGTCTCCCTGCCTTCTGCGCCGGGTAGATCGGCCACTCCCGGATCCTCAGAGCTTCCGTGCGGGTCGTGCGTGCGGGCCAGACTCACTGGATCCCTGTAGCTCTATTTTTGCGTTTTTGAGTCACATGAGTTACTAGATTGCCCTGCAACTGAATGTGTCCATGTGTGGTTCAGCTTCCCCAGCTCTCGCCACTGCTCCCACCACTACTGGGTGGGGTGCAGTGGGCAAGAGAGCCTCAGGCAGCCCCAGGCAGCAGGGACGGTGCTGCACAGCGAGGCACCTATGGCTCCAGGGCACTGAGCTGACTCCCACCTCATCTGAGCCACCTCAGCGACACCAGCTTTGCACCCGTCCAACCCCCTCTGCTCGGGAGTCTGGGTCCTGGTGTTTCTGCAGGAGTCCTATCCCATGGGCTCGGGGACACTGCAGACCCTCAGGAGATGGGCAGCCCCCGAGGAAGACTGACTTTCAGAGGGCTGATGAATCCTGGGAGCAGGGATGCTCAGGCCAGGGGTCACGTGGGGCCTGCCTCGGCCCCGTGGCTGATGCACCTGGTGGCCGCTTCTTGCCCTCTTGTGAGCGGCAGCTGGTCTAGGCCTGGGGTACTGAGCCCGGGGCCAGGTCTGATGCACAGGACTCTGCCTGCGGGCCTCACAAGCCTCCCAGGGTCAGAGCACAGGACCTCACGTCCGCGGATCTGCCCAATTTCAAAGAGTACCGGAGACAATTACAGCCGTCAACACCTGGGTTTTACAAATGTTTAAAACCAACTTTTATTTTAAGGCTGTTAAACGGAATGGGCATTGGGAGGGCAGCTGGCTGTGGGGACTGGACAGGGGCCAGGTACATGTGGGCCAGGACGCCACCTCCCTTGGCCACGTCTCCCCCAGTAGCTGTCAGTGTCAGGTGTGGGCGCAAGAAAGGTACATGTTGGTACAGCTGGGAGAGCTCAGGTCACAGAGCTGGCCACCACTGCAGGATCTCAGAAAGGGGACCCTGGCAGCCCAGCTGGCGCAGAGGTTAGGAAGTCACAGCTGCCCACAGTGCAGAGACCCAGATGGACAGGCTGGGCCACGGTGGGCAGTTCTGCACCTGCTAGTGTGGCGTCCACTTGGCTTGCTGTGTTCCTGCCCTCGGGCAGGTGAGGGTTGCTGGCTTGGGAGAGGATGGGGCTACCCGGCCGGCGTCCGAGGTAAGGGGGTTGAGCACCACGCCGGCCCGGTGGCGGCCCTCAGAGGTTCTTCATGCACACCTGGCAGCGGCTGATGTGGGTGCGGATCAGGCCAGCCTTGAGCGTGTCGGCAGATGGTGTACCCTGGAAGCTGGCCTCAGGGATGGTGGTCAGCCAGAAGCTGTACTTATTGGCAAAGTAGTGGCAGGTCCCTCGGGCCCCGTTGCACTCAATGAATGGTGTGGCACGGAAGTCCTCCAGACAGCTGCCTGGAGACACCAGTGACTGGCCGCCGCCCTCGTCCCCAGCTGCCGTGTGCTGTTAGGGATGGACAGGATGGGTCAGGGCCTCAGGCTAGGTGCCCAGGGCAGTGCAGGCTGCTGCTTCTCCTTACCAACTGGCAGACATCTCTCTCAATGCCAGCTTGGGTAACACTTGCACACGCAGCACACACCGTGCTGCGGCTGGTGCTGAGGAAACCCGGTGTGGAGAGCAGCTGCACCTCTGGGGGCTGCTGTGGTGTAGGCTAGCACAAACCCACGGCAAGGGCGTCCCTTAGCGGACACCTCAGAGCAATGACACAGGCTTTGGGCAGATATGTATGACCACATTTCAATAAAGCCAAAACCTAAACACGCACACCCACGTGCAGATGGCACACTGAAAGCCGTGCTTGCGCCAGGGCCTTCCTCCGGAAATGCTGGACCGGAAGGGGAAGGGCTGCTAATGGCTTTTTGCTGAAAAGAAAAACCAGCATGTGATGATTTTTCCCTAGCAGTCAGGTATTCCTTGGGTAATTAAAGTGATTAACCTAGTGCGCTTAATCACGAGGCTCTGAGGCTTCTGGATTTGCAAGGAAACCAACTCTGGGTCACTTGAAAGCTCTACTTCTGGTGGCAACATCGTGGTTGGCTTCCTCTGAGGTGTGTGGGAGCCCTGACCTGGACCATGGGGTTTCTATGCAGGGTGGCACGGGCAGGCCTGGGAACAGGTCACTGTGTGTTGCCCGGGCAGGGCCAGGGTGGTCTCATCTCCGATGCAGACAGCAGCATGAGATGCCTCTGAGGAATGCTCTGCTCATGGGGACAGCGTCCACCTGCCCAGATGCTGCTGGAGACCCAGGACAGGGCCAGAGACTCAGGTGAGGATCCCTGGGGGCTGGAGCTGGCCTGGGGGGCTCTGAGAGTGCCACCCGCGTGTGTGCGCACACACACATGCACACAAGCAAGTTATCCGGGGGAGCATGAAACTGCAACCCGGAATGTCCTGTCCTGCGTGTGCAACACAGGCCGCCAGCCCTGCAGGCTGCTGGAGGGTGCGCAAGCACCCTCCGCCTTCTGTGAAACCCTCGCTCATCTGTGCGCAGGCAGAGGCCAAATTCATCCAAATCTCACTGTGTGCAAAGCTTTGGTCGGAAATGAATGGCATCCCTCTGGATGACAGTGCCGCCCCTGGACCCACACTCCATGGACACTGCGAGCTGCCTTCCAGCCCTCACTCGTCTGTGGGCAGGGCCCTTTTGCAGTGTGTCACCCGAACAACTGTCCTGTGTGTTCTCCCTGTGTCCCCAACCAAGCAGAGGAAGTAGGCTTCCTCCTGGCTCCAGGCAGACAGAGGGGGTGGGAGGAGGGAAAGAAAGTGCGTACCATGAGGAAGGAGTACCCGATCCACAGGCTGCGCCAGCCTGCTGGGCAGTGCGGGATGGACACGTCCTGGCTGTGCACTGCGATGGCCACGGCCGGCGCCTCGCACACAGAGCAGCGGCTGATGTAGGGCTTGATGTCATCCTCAGCCACGGGCATCATGGGCAGCGGGGCGGTGGTGGACAGCCAGTAGGACTTGTCGTTGCGGCTGGCGTAGTAGCAGACATCGCCGGGGTTGCAGTAGAGGAAGGGCATGGTGCTGAAGCGAGCCAGGCAGGAGCCGGCCAGCCCTGCAGGAGGCAGGCGTGAGGCCCAGCAGTAGGAGCCGGCAGCGTCCGGGAGCCTGCAGGCACCAAGCTGAGGCTCCGCCCCTCTCGTCTTCCCTGAGCCAGAGATGGACCCCGGGGCCTGGCGCGTGCCTGGGAATGGCTCTGGCTGAGCTGCCCTGTGTCTTGCTTCCTTTCTGTTTGCCAGCCACATTGGCTTTGCAAGAGGCAGGCATCCCCGCAGCTGGCCCTGTAGGCCTTGGGCCAGGCTGGGCCCAGAGAGCTGGGCCTTGGGAATGAGGCTGGAGGAGCGAAGCTATCTTGGGAGTTGTTTGGACTTTTAAGACAGGTTCTCACTATGTAGTGCACGATGGCCTTGAACTAGCAGTGACACTCCTGCCTCAGCCTCCCAAGCGCTAGCATGACAGGGTGCGTGACCACACTCGGCTTCTTGTGGGCTCTGTGCCTCCTGGGAGAGACAGACTTTAAGGGCACCATGAGCCAAGCTGGCTTCCCTCTCACATACACAGCCTACCAGCCCCCAGCCCCGAGCCAGGGGAGAAGGCACGCAGCTCTTATTCCAGCATCTGGGAGGCTGAAACAGAAGACTGCTGTGAGTTTAAGACAAGCCTGGGCTACATGGTAAGACCTGGCTCCAGAACGTGGAAAGGAGGGAAAGGAGCTGGTGGGCTCTGATGGCGAGGATCTGCGTGGCTGGAACTGGTGGGAGCTGCGGGAACCAGTGCCAGGTCGGCAGGTGGGGGGGGGCATGCACAGAGCCCACTGATTTTAGGGTGGTAGCCCTGGGGCCATTTGGCTCCTGAACGTCACCATGGCCACTTGACCTGGGCCTGTGGTACCTACCCAGGTCCTGGTTGTGGGCCTTCTCTTGTCCCTCAAAGTACAACAGGCTGTAGCCGCTCCACAGCCGGTTCATGCCCACCGGGCACATGGGCTCCTGGTCGGTCTGGCTGTGTTTCACCAGCAGGTAGCCGATGCTGACGCTGCGGCCGGGCATGCCGGGCAGCCCTGGGCTCCCTGGGCGGCCTGGCTCCCCTAGGGACAGAGAAAACGCAGCTCAGTGCCTGGGGCCCTAGGGCTGCCAGCTCCTCCTTCTCCCCACAGCAGGCTCAGCCTACCATCCCCAGGGTCTGACTCGGTCCCAGGGCTCCACAGAGCCCCTCTGGCACAGCCCTGCTACACTGGAATCTGCCCTGTGGGGGCCCAACACCTGGCCATCCCGGGTCCCAGTCTGTGCCTGGGCCCCTCCTCCATGGGTCCCCATATGTCCCGTTTGCTGCTGTGGCCCAGCCCCACTTGCTGTCCCTGTGGCCAGCTAATAAAGTCACCTGCAGCTGCCTCTGCCACTGACTGCCTGGGCCAGGATGGCTAGAAGGATCTTAGGGATCACCCAGCGGGAATGCTTGCTGTCCCCCCTGTTCCCTCCTTGTACATGGAAACACACAGCACTGTGGTTCCCTGCTAGCTCAGCAGATGCCCTCCAGCTCCTTGTCGGCCTTCAGGTCTTGTGAGTCTGGCCCCACAGCCAGCTGGGTGCCCAGGATCAGAGGAGGGAGCCCGTCCTGCACCCACCAGGCCTTGTCCTCTGCACAACCTCTCCCCACTAGCACCCTGTGGTCACCTACCTTCTTGGCCAAGTGGGCCCTGCTGCCCCACGGGTCCTGGGTCTCCCCTGAAGCCAGGCAAAGCAGATACGCCGCCGCGCCCCTGGGGTCCGGGCTTCCCTGGCACCCCACGAAAACCTGTAAGACAGCAGTGATGAGAGGACCAGGCCGGGACCCTGAGAGGACAGTGAGGATTCTGAGACCTTCCTAGCACCCCACCTGATCTCCTACCTGGTTCTCCAGGAGGGCCCTGAGGCCCCATCTCCCCTCGTGCCCCTGGAGGACCCCTCCTGCCCTCAGGCCCTATTGTGCCAGCCGGAGCCAAGATCCTCTGGGGGATTCCAGCAATTCCAGGGGACCCCACAGAACCAGGGGCTCCTGTGGGGTGAAGAAGGGAGGATAAGTATGGAGAACAAAGTGCTGCCCTTCCCTGGCCCCAGGAAAGGCCTGGCCGGGCACCCCACCTGTTGGCCACTTACCGGGGAATCCCAGATCTCCTTTGGGTCCCTTAGGGCCTCTGTCGCCCACAGTCCCAGTAGGTCCTGTGTTGCCCATGAGTCCAGGGTCACCCCTGGGCCCTGCAGAATGGAGGGGACATGGTCAGAGTGCATATCTCCCACAAGGTACCCTCACCTCTGCTCGGGAGCCCACGCCACTGTCACCTTTCTCTCCTGGGACACCAAACACGCCCGGTTGGCCCTGGGGCCCTGGGTCCCCACCCCATCCTTTGGTTCCTGGGAACCCCGGGGCTCCGGCGCTCCCTGAGTCGCCTTTGCTTCCAGGCAGGGCAGGGGGTCCAGGGGGCCCCTGGGGGCCTGGGTAACCTGTGGATGACAGTAATGAGAAAGCAGTTTAGACAGGTTTGGACTGCAGTTAGCCGGGAGGTCAGCCACGTAGGGGCTATCTCCGCCAGTCTGTGGTGCTGGGTCTCTTGGGAACTTTATCTTTTTTTTTTTTTTTTTTTAATGTATTTAGTATGGGGTCTACAGGGGTCTCACTATGTAGATCAGACTTGTAGTGATTATCCTATTTTCAGCCTCCCAAGTGCTAGGATTACAGGTGTGCACCACCATGCCCAGTCTTAGTTGTTGTTTCAGCGTGCCCCAGGGGTAGGGCTGGCATGGCACACCGGGGATCAAACCCTGGCCGCTGTGCTCTGCCTAAGCAGGCACTTTAGTCTGCTGAGCTATCTGGCCGGCCCTAGAACTTCATCTTTTTGTAAAAAAATTGTAGTGACCTAGAATCTCCCACGCCAGCCACCTGTAGACACACAGCTCAGTGGCTTCTAGCGTGTCCCACGGGTCATCGATCTCCACACTTTGAGATGGAATCGCACTGTGCAGCCCAGGCTGACCTAAGACCCGGGGCAGTCTTCTTGCCTGAGCTTCCCAAGGGCTGGGACAGCGTGTGTGCTCCATCACAGCCGGCTAGATCTCCAGAACTTAACTGTGCTGGCCAAGACCAACACTGCCCACATGAAGAACCGATTCTGCCATAGCTGAGGTCCCTAGCCTTGGCCCATTCTGCTTTCTGCCGCCTGGGCGTGTCACCCTGGGGACCTCATGTGAGTGGACCAGCCCTTGTCCTGGAGGACTGCCCTATCTCCCTGAGCATCTGGTCCTCAAGGCTTATCCATGCTGTAGTGAGTGGGTCAGTTTCTCCTTTTTGCAAGCTGCATAACATTCCATGCACATGACACTTCTTAGTTTTTTCATTCATCTGTGGGTGGACCCTGGGGCTGCTGTCCTCCCTGGCCGCTGTGACCAGTGTTGCCACGTTACTGGTGCACTGTGCATCAGTACTGCGTCAGTACCAGCTGGTGGACCGCTTCCGCTCTACGCCAGCTCTTTTGAGTAAGCACAGAGTTGCTATGTGGCTGAGCCACATCCAGCAGCTAAGTGAGGAGGAAGTGCCACTGCACGTCTCTGAGCATCTGCCCTATAGCAAGCCATGGATATGCCCTGCTCTGCCGGGCCTGGGCCCGTGTCGGGCAGGGGATGAAACCAACAGGGGATAAGTGGGGACGCCATGGGAGACAAGTGTGTTCCATTGGTTGGTCGGGTGAGCCACAGAGTTTGGTGCCGATGCCCCGCCCACCGATGCCCCGCCCACCGATGCCCCGCCCACCGATGCCCCGCCCACAAGCTCCAGGCCCACCACATGGCCCACCCACCGAAACTCTGCCCCTACACTCACCTTTCAGGCCAAAGATCCCTGGAGACCCCAAGTCCCCCGGCAGCCCGGAGATGTTGGACGCAGGGCTGATGCCGGGAAAGCCTTGGATCCCGGGCCTCCCAGCTGGGCCTCGCTCCCCTGGAAGACCGAAGGGCCGCGCTTAGAGGGGGCTCCCAGCTTTGCAGACTCATCCCCCATGCCAGGGGTCCAAGGCCCAGTTTCATGCAAGGCGGGCCAGATGGCGACCTGGGCGGAGGGCCCGAAGGGAGCAGCTCCCGGGTAGTGCCTTCTGCTCGGGGACCTGGGCGTGCCAGGCCCAAGGTGCCCACTGGTGTCTGACCCTGCCCAGGGCCCTGGTGCCCATGTGCAGGGGCAGTGGCACCCACACTCTGCTGGCCCCTAGACCCACACAGCCACTGCCCTTCTCTCTGGTGGTCCCCCGGACCCTGGGCATGGAGGGGAAGGGCTCAGAGGGGACCCAGCCACACACGGGGGTGGGGTGGTGGGAACAACAGTGGCCAGTGCTGGGCATGGGGCAAGGTCACACGCAGCCTGAGGTGGTGGCCTTACCTGGAGCTCCCTGCTCTCCCTTCTGCCCAGGGACGCCCGTGGGGCCTGGGGAAGTGTTGGCCTCTCCACGGTCACCTCTGTCCCCAATGGAGCCAGGAAAGCCTGGGTCTCCGGGCATGTCAGCACCTGTAGGACATGAACACAACCATGGTGCTGTGGGCGGCTACCCACCAGGGACTTCCCTCAAGTGCATGAAGAGTCAGCGGACTCGGGAGTCTGGGGTCGGGAGCCCTGGGATTTGTTCCTGCCCTGAGCTCTGCGTCAGCCTCTGTGGCTCGAGGGTCCTGTAGAGGATGGGACCCTCACTCCACTGCTCCCTCCCTGCCTTTCTTCTCTCTCTTTTTGTCTTTTTGAGACAAGGTCTTGCTATGCAGTTCAGGTTGGCCTTGGGCTCATTCTGTAGCCCAGGCTGGTCTTGCACACATGGACCCTCCTGCCTCAGCCTCCCAAGTGCTGGGATCACAGGCGTGTGCCACCGTGCCCGTCATGGACCCAAACTCCAGAGGAGACGCGGTCTCCCAGGAGGTTGCACGCGTGGCTAATGCTGCGCTTCGGTGGGTTTTGAGAACTTGGCAGTGCTGCCAGGACGCTTCCCTGGCTGCTGTCACAATGCCAGGGTTTCCTCCAGTGCTCCCCCTGGAACCGGAAATACCCTTTACCGGAGTGGAGCATGTGAATTTATGCTCCGCTTACTGCTCGTGTGAGCAGGTGCGCGTTGGGTTACAGAAGAACCCAGAGAGGTGTATGTGACGCAGAGCTGTGCCTCTGGGAGGGGCTCTCCTCCTGCTTGGGCGTGTTTTAGCTACTCTGCTACGAGGAAGGGGAAACTCAAGTCCTCTATAGGAGAGTGGATGCCCCTTGGGGCCGAGAAGCAGAGTGAGATAAGTCACACACAGGCAGCATCCCGGTTTCTCAGCCTGAGGAACAGAAGTGCAGGTAAAGAGCAACAGAAAAGAGCTTACAGGAAGCAGGAGATGCATGCACACAAGCAGGGCTTTAGGGACTGAACTTGACCCTCCTGCGCAGAGCATGGTGAGGGGAGAACAGCAAGTGGAGCCTCCCGCCTGACCCAGCACGAGGGCTGCGCGCTCACTTACCTGGGGACCCCGGGGAGCCCTTGGGGCCAGGCAGGCCGTGCAGTCCGCCTATGCCACGCAGTCCTGGGAAACCTGTGGGGCCTCAGGGCAGTTAGGCAGGGAGGCAGGAGGGCGCCACTGGCGGGCACCCTTGGGAGCCGTCCGTGCGGCCACCCTGGCCACGGCACCACCCTCCTCCTGGCACTGCTGCCTGGGCCAGCAGGATAGAGCCAAGTGTCTTCTGCCCATGTCCCAGGGACCCACGCAAAGTGCTGTTTACAGCATCAGCCTGGACGTGGGTGCTGCTTCCTGCCCTGCGGCCTCTCTTGGCCTGGAGTTATGTAGTTTCTGCTTTTTTGAGACAGAGTCTCCCTCTAGTCCAGTTTGGCCTTGAACTCCCAGTGGTCCTCCTGCCACAGCCTCCTCAGCACTGGGATTACAGGCGTGTCAAACACAACTTCGAAAACCCTGCTTGGCACGCAGCCTGGCATCATTCCCGTTCCTTCCCTCGGGATGTCTGAAGGTAAACATTTCTGGATTTTATTTTTATTTTTATTTTTGGTGGAACCAGGGATTGAACTCAGGTCCTTGCGCTTGCCAGGGAAGCGCTTATTCCACTGAGCTATCTCCCCGGTCCCAGGATTTTATTCTTATTTATTTTTTGAGACAGGGTCTCACTGTGAATTTCAGGCTGGGCTTGAACTTGCAGTCTTCTTGCCTTGGCCCAAGAGCTTATGCAGCCGCGCCCCGTGACTCTGCAGGAGGTGGCAGCGTGTGGCTTGGCCCATGTGCCTCTGGTCCTGCTGGGGCACCCCGATGCCGAGCGAGCATGGGGCCAGGCCTCGCGATGCTCCCAGCTGCCCTGAGCCAGCGGCCCTGTTAGGTCCCCAGAGGTCACCTCACCTGGCAAGCCTGGCACGCCGGGCCAACCGTCATCTCCTTTATCCCCGGGGAATCCGATCTGCCCCGGGTCTCCCTGCGGTCCTTGCAGCCCTGTTAGTCCTGGGAAGCCTGCAGGGAGATGGGGTACTAGTTCAGAGGGCACAGGAGGCCAGGGATCTCTCCTGCTGAGGGGCTGTTGTGGTGGGCTGAGGACCCCAGGGCTGCAGCTCCAAGCTGTCGGAGAAGCTGGAAACTGCCCTGGCCCCATGCACAATGCTGTGGCCTCAAGTTCTGTGGAGTCAACTCAGCCTTGCTAGAGAAAAGTGCGTGCGTGCGTGTGTGCGTGTGCGTGTGTGTGTGTGTGCACGTGCCTATGGGTGGGCGTTGTGTCCCTGGGGTCCAGTCCCAAGACTGCACTGAACTGTGTCCCCAGCCTTTTTGATTTGGTATTTTGAGACAGGGTCTCGTTAAGCCGATAGGTCACCCTGGCTGGACTTGGGACGTGCCCTTTCAGCCAGGACTGGCTCAGGTGGCTCCCTCTGCTGACTCGGAATCCTTGGAGGATAGCCGGGGAGGACCCCACACTGCAACAGGGTATGGCTTGGTCTAGGGCACTGTGGGTTGCTGCCCAGCTCCCCTCCTGGGTGGATTTGGATTGGGTAAGTGGGCAACAAGGGAGCAGGGCCTGGCCAAGTGAGGTGCAGCGTGCACATGAGCGACTGGGCCTCACCTGTCTGTCCTTTGATTCCGGGTGGACCCTGGGGTCCAGCCAGGCCTGAGATGCCAGGGAAGCCGACCTCGCCCTGGGTACCTCTCTCTCCGAAGAATCCCTTCAGACCTGGAACACAGTGGGAAGCTGGGATCACATTGCTCCGTGGAGGCTCAGTGCTCCTGCAGCTCTGGGACGCTGGCGAGGCTGTGTCACCAGGTCGCTTGGAGTCTATACCTGTTCCTGCCTCAGCTCACTTCTGCTGGGATGGTGGCGTTAGCCGAGACAGTGCTCGGGGACCCCGCATGGCACAATGCTAGACTGTCCACCTCTCGGGTACCATGGTAACTGTATCCAGGACAGCAGATTCCCAGCACCACCCCCCCACGCCTCTCTGCTGGGCATCAAGCCCAGGCCTGGAGGGGATACATGGGGCTGAGCTCTGTGGAAACAGGAGTGCTGTATACCTGGAGTCCCGGTGAGGCCACGCTCTCCCTTCAGGCCTGGGCTTCCTGGTAAATTGATTGTGTCCCCAGTGTCACCTGTCACAGGAGGAAAGTTGGGCAAGAGGGAAGGGGCAGGAAGGGGACGGGTGTGCTCTTCCTGCTCTCCCCAAGCTTTTAGATTTTCTTTGTTTTATTATTTTGAGACAGGGTCTTGCTGGTGATCTTCCTGCCCCAGCCTCGAGTGCTGGGGTGACAGACATGTGTCAGGCACCATGCCCACATCCCCTGATCTTAACAAAAACAGTGGCTTCCAGAGGACCTGAAGGCCCAGCATCACCCTGGGCCACCAACACTCACCGAAATCCCCAGGCTGGCCGGCCTCACCGTATAGGCCTGCTCTTCCTGGAGCGCCCTTGTCCCCCTGTGGAAAAGCCCAGAGAAATCACTCAGGAGGGCTGGTGTGGCCAGGTGCAGCTCCAAAGGGTCCCTTGTCTCATGTCATGCACATAGCAGAACTGGAGATTGGTGACTGTCATGGCTCAGGCTGGTGTCCCACAGGTGCTCTGGGCTCCAGCCTCCAGCTTTGCGGCCTGAAGGAGCAATGCTTTTGCCTCAGACAGCACAGCCGCCAGCTTTGCGCACTAAAGGCCACGTGAGAGTGCCAGGCCCTTGAGCCACCGTGGTCCAGGATGGCCTGGCAGCTGGCTCTGCGCCAGCTCTTGGCCAAGGCCACCCTAGTGGATGCTGCCCAGGGCATAGGAGCCCATGGAATGGGCTGGCAGGTCCCACACTCACCCGGCTGCCCGTGAAGCCTGGAAAGCCTACGATCCCAGGAGGGCCGACCACTCCAGGGAAGCCTGGCAGACCAGGTGAGCCAGGCACGCCGATGTCGCCTTTGACTCCTTTGATGAGGCCCGGCCTTCCAGGCAGCCCCGGGACTCCTGCCTGTCCTGGGACCCCTGGCATGCCTTGGATACCTGCAGGAAGAGCCGGGCGCCCCATCAGTGTCCAGGGCCAACTGTAGTCTGGACAGTACTCACTGTCCCCAGAGCCACACAGTTTGGAACAGGCACATGGGGTGCTCAGGGGTGCCAGGGCCCCATGAGCCTTCATGTGGACACCCTGTGTGTGGGGCAGCCCTGAGCACGGGAGCCTCACCTTTCAAGCCCAGGTGACCTTTCAGCCCCATGGGCCCTTCGTCGCCTTTCTCCCCCTTCAGGTACTTTATCACAGGCAGGATGGCGGGAGGGGGACCTGGGGGGCCAGGGTCCCCTCGAGTGCCTGGAAGGAAGCAGAAGCTGTCACCTCTTTGGGAGCTCAGACTGCAGGCAAAGGTGGAGGAGGCCCTCAGTCTCCATGGTGCCTTCCACCGTGATGGGTGCACAGAGCTGCACCCTGTGCCCTGGGTCCTGAGCTCCCATGGGTTGGGCAAGCCGGCCCGGCTCCAAGGTGCAGTGTCCTTAGCCCGCAGGACCCCTCTGTTCCTGCCATCCCCACCTCAGCCCTTCCACGGCCGGCAGCCCTCCTTGCTGAGGCTTCTTTAGCTGCCAAGTTCCCCCTCACATCAGTGACCCATGCACGGCAGCTAAATCCTGCGGGCCCACCCGGGACAGGTGGTGAAGGATGGGATGGTGCAGCACAGGCCAGGGACTAACCCTCACAGAAAGAGGCCACAGCGCGCTGAGAACACCAACGGCTCCTGTGACACCGAGAGCACCGCTGCCGCTGAACACGAAGGCAGAGCCCTGTGGTAGGCCGCCCCCCCCCCTGACGCCCAGCGGCTGACCCCCCATCTAGGCCCCACCTCCCGGAGGCAGTCGGGAGGGCGCACCCCATACCTTTGCCGCCGCGCTGGCCTGGTGGGCCTCTCACACCCGGCTGCCCTGAAAGCCCGGCCTCGCCCTTGGTGCCCGGGACCCCGGGTCTTCCTTTGAGCCCGATCATGCCTTGGAAGCCGTCCATGCCGGGCGAGCCTCTCTCCCCTGCAGAGAAGAAGGTGGACGAGTGGGAACCGGGTGTGAGGATTGGCAGGCTGGGCCCGCGTCTGACATGCAGAGTGGAGGCGCAGCGCAGCAGGCAGCTGGGCGTGAGAACGAGCCAGGACGAGTGCCAGTGTGCCAGCCCCACCCGCCTCCATGGCCCGGATACCTTTGTGCCCGGGGCTGCCGGGCATCCCAACAATGCCTTTAAACCCAGGGGTTCCTGGATGGCCTCGATCACCCCCGGCACCGGCGTCGCCTCTGTCCCCAGCCAGACCTTTCATCCCCACAGGGCCTGGGGCACCCGTGTCACCAGGTTCGCCCCTGTCCCCGCGCAGACCTGGCAGGGCAAGGAAAACAAAATTCAAGGTGATGCGGAGAACACTCCTTGGAGGCCAAGGCCTGGCTTCGAACGTTTCCTTGGACAGGAAAGTGGGTCTTGGAGCCCTGGGGCCTAAGAAGGGGAGGGCAAAGGGTACCAGGCAGCACCAGCTCCAGCGGGGTTGCAGTCTCCAGGGCCAGTGGTGCTGCCCGTCCCGTGCTCCGGGTCTCCTCCCGGGCCGCGCCTCCCTGTCCTGTCTCCCACCTGCCGGTCACCTCGCCGTCCTGACCTCCCGAGCCCCTAGCCTGCTGCCAGTCTTGGTCTCTCACACCAGACCCTGCTTCAAGCTGCTGGCTGCCTCCTGAAGTCTGTCCCTACTGCCTTGCTGTGTAACAGCCACTGGCGGCTGGCTTTGCCTCAGCTGCTGCCTAACTTTAGTAAGGCATTCAGTGCCTTGTACACCTGAGGCCGGAGGGCTGCTTGAGCCTAGGAGTTTCAGACAAAAGAAGGGCAACATTCCAATATTCCCAGGTGTGTGGAATGTACAGGCTGTGCTGGGGTTACTCAGCACCAGCTCCAGCTTTCCCTCTCCAAATCAGGCCAGTGGGTTGAAGCTTTTTCAGTGGAAATTTCTTTTTTTTTCCTTTAGTAAAATCTTCCCCAGACCCCAGTATATGCAACAGGCAAAAAGAGGAGTCTGTTTTTCATGCTGTTTAAATCTCCTCTGTGAAATATGTGTCTTGCTTTTGTAACCCTTGCAGCAGCTCTTGGGGCTCTTTGGAACACAGTTCATGGACCCCTCCCCTCCCTGGGTCTGTGGAACTCCTACCTTCCCTGCCAGGGACACCAGGCAGCCCCAAGGGCCCCTCTGGGCCGGGAGCTCCAGGGAATCCATGTCTTCCTGGTGGTCCGGGCCGTCCCTGCAGGCCTGAAGGCCCGGGGAGTCCCAGCTGGCCCTTCAGCCCTGGCATACCGGGCATGCCCTGGCTACCTGCAGGTGTGGAAAAGACATTGGTGAGGCTGGGGCACCAGGCCCAATCAGTCTGTGGAGTGCATCTCAGGATCTGGGTTCCAGGAAGTCTGGACACACAAGGAAGTGCAGGGGCTCGGACCTCGCCCCAAGGTGGTCACTGACATTCAGGTGAATTTCCCCTCCCGCCTTTTCTAGCCCTATACATACACGCATGTGCATGCACAGAGGGAGAGAAGGCTGCAGGCACAGTGCACTCTAAAGACTGCTGGAATCTGGCTGTCCTCACGGATGCCACATTCCCGGCATTTTGCCACGTTTAGATGCATCCCCTGCCTCTGAGAACACCCCTGCCCCGTGGTTGTGCCTAGCATGTCCTGGCCCTGCCTGCGTCCCGTGTCAGGGCTTGGTGCACAGACCGGGCCTGCAGCTTCTTAGGGACGTCGGCTGGAGGTCAGCATGCTCTTCACCGCCTGCCTGCCCCGCCTGCCTGCCCTGGCACCCAGCCTCCGGTGCAGATGCCTCCAGCCACCTTGGGGCGGGCAGGAGGAGGGTCCGGGCTGTGTCCTCTGTGCATTTTTCTTTGAGCACTGTTTCTTCTGGTGTTTGCCTTTTGGTGCCGTTTTTATTCTTTGCTTGGGTTTCCCTTTGGGGACTTCCATATTTTTCTTCTAGGTCGGAGCATTTCTTAGGGGACACTGATGGCATACACCTTCTAGTTTAGGGGCACCACTATTTCACTTTTGCTGATCCAATTTTTTGTTGTTGTTTGTTTGAGAAGGTCTTTTTTTTTTTGAACCGGGGATTGAACTCAGGCCCTTGCACTTGCCAGGGAGGCGCTTATTCCACTGAGCCATCTGCCCGGCCCCTCAAGGTCTTGACAGGTACTCCAGGCTGGCCTTGAGTTCACAGTGACCCTTTTGCCTCAGTCTCCCACGGGCCAGGATTCCGTGTGTGTGCCCTACACGTGGGCACACTTCTGTCCTTAAGGTATGCAATCTGAACACTTGCACGCACACTGTGCAGACGTTGGGCTGTGCGTGGGGGGCTCTTCCTGTGCAGTTCTGCAGGGGCGGGCACCGCTCACACCCAGGACAGCTTGTCACGGGCCCTGGCGTGACTGAGGCCCCAGGATGCATGGTGACCGGTGGGGTCTGGCGTGTCCCCCTCCCCCAGGGCACATCACAGGCTGTGAATACTGAGGCTGGGGACTTGGGCTGCCACGGTGGTGGGGGACAGGCCAGCCATGGCTTCACCCTCTTGCCGCTACAGTGGCTGATGCAGCTTTGAGCTGAATGGTTCTGGTCAGTTCCCACTCACAGAATCCACTGGGAAGGTGGCTGCCGCACACAGCCCGGCCCTCTCTGCTCAGGGATGTGGACAGTGGCTGTCCAGGTAGCGCTGGGAGAACCTCAGCCTGCCTCTGCGTGCCACCGCCACCGCTCCCAGGCTGGAGCAGCAGCAGGCCCATCCCACCCCCCGCCCGCGTGCGTGTGCGACGCATGCGTGCGAGGCCCTGCCTGTGTGGGCCTGAGCACCCCGCCACCTCAGCCCCCTTCCTTCCTCGGGCCACGCCCTTGCCTACCCAGTTGGCATCAGCTGGGCCCTCCCTTGGGACACTGACAGGCTCCTCCAGAAGCCAAATCTTACTCTGAGCCCCTTGGGCTCTGGGCTGCCTGCCAGGGCCCAGGCTGCCCTCAGCTATGGGTTGCACGATGCAGGACAGTGTGACACTGCACTGGACAGGGACACGGGGTGGGCAGGGGCAGTGGGGACCCAGACAGTGCCATCCTGAGACACTGTCTTCATCAGGGATGGTGGGGGCTCAGTGCCAGGTGCAGCCAGCTGGTGCCCCGCTCGGTGCCAAGCCCTGCGGGCTACCTTGCCAAGCACCCACCGCATCAGGGTGTTGTGAACCTCAGAACAGTGCACTGCACATCAGTTTTGGCCCCAGGCCTTGAGCTGCCTCGGGCTGGCCCATCTCCCCGAAGTGTGTGCCTAGAATGGGAGTGACTGGAATGGCACAGGCTGGACTGGACAGCACAGTGACCTGGGCAGCACACACAGGGTGGGCTGCGGAGGTCACCAGGCTGCACGCTGCTGGCTACAGCAGTGACATGGGCTACAGAGGGAGGGTGGCAGAGGCAGCATTCCTAACTCTGATCTCCAGGTTTCCCCAACATTCCTGACCTTTCGGGGGTCTGCACCCCAAGAAATGGAACTCACCTCTGAACCCAGGGGGTCCACGTTCTCCAGGGACACCTTTCAGGCCAGGCTGTCCAGGAAGCCCAGCATCTCCCCGGCTCCCAGGCTCGGCCCCTAGCACCTCTCCGGGAATGCCCCTGTCCCCAGGGGCACCCACAGTGCCTGGCAAGCCATCAGGGCCCTGGAGTCCGTCGGGACCTGGACGGCCCACAGCACCTTTGGATCCGCGGGGTCCTATGATCCCTAAAAGGAAATGGGGGTCTTAGCCTAGGTCAGCACGGTCATCTGAGGGGGTGCAGGCAGGAGGCTGGTGACCCTAGGGCCTGGGGTCACGGAAACCTCCCCTGCTGCCCTCTGTTTCCTTTGGCACCCAGCGTGTTCGGCCTCTTGGTGACAGGGGCACATCTGTCCTCAAGGGAGTATGTTGTGGAAATGACCACTGTCCAGAAGACCCAGAGCACCCACCCCACCTTCCCCGGCCAATTCACCTGGGGGTCCGGGTAACCCATCACGGCCTGGGTCCCCGGGGAAGCCCTTGAGCCCTTGTGGTCCATCCTCTCCTGCGAATCCAGGGATTCCTCTGGGGCCTTTGTCACCTGGACACCAAGGAGACACCAAGCCACATTAGTGCATGAGGACGGAGGGGATGCAGCCCCCAGCAGTGCCTCTGGGCTTACAGAGCGACTTTCTTGGGTACCACTTGGGTGGCAGGAGTTGCCCGTGCTAGGGTGCAGCCTGGGGTCTGTCTCTACTCTTGGGCCTCCCCACAAGGATCAGGGGTGGCTCTGGGGGTTGAGATGCCAGGAGCCTGTCCCACCCAGGGCTCAGGCCCACAGGAGGAGGGGCAGCACAGTACCTGGGACGCCAGGAGGGCCAGGCCGGCCAGGTGATCCCTTGGGGCCTCCGATGCAACCTGGGGGGGGGGCGGGGAGGAGTTCAGCACCCTGTGTGGGAACTCTGGCAGGTGAATCGGCTCCCACCAGATGACCAGTCACCCCGCAATTTCATTAATCTTGGGTCTGATGTAAGTAAAAGCTTAATTCCACGGAATCATGAAATCTAACTTTAGCATAAGGTGGACGACAGGTGTGTGCCACCGTGACTGGCCTCGGCTTCCGCCCTGCACCTCTGAGAACTTTCAGAATTGTGCGCAGCGATAGCTATGCAGGTGGCCGGGCTCCCGGCAGCCTGAAGGGGAGGCCAAAGTTGGGACGGGCTTTGCTGTCCTGTGATTTTCCTCCTGGTGGCATAGATCGTGGGGCCTGACTGGGGCCTCTGCCTGTCCAGGGGGAAGGGTGTCCCGTGAGGGGCCCTGTCTACACGTCTGTCCTCATCAGTGTGTGATCCACACAGTGTGTGCAAACCACTCTGAGCGCTGTGGACACCAGGGTGGAGGTGTCTTCCGTCTGGCGGTCCCCAGCACTGCGGCCACACTGTGTGCATCTCCTGTGCGTCAGAGCCACGCGCTGCGCCAGTCGCACGCACCCTCCACCCAGCCCTCCCCTGTGCCGTGTCCATTTGCTGGAGCTCCGACCGTCCCGGGTCTCAGCAGCATGAACGGTGCAAATCCCTTTGCCTGTTTCTACGACCCTTGCCAGCTTTCCCTTGCATGTCTGAGACTGGCAGCTTGAGGTCCCTTCCTGTCACTTCTTGGCCCTGTGACCTTGCTGGGGACAGTCCACCCATCTCCCTAGTCCTTTCTGGCTTCCACTCCTGGCCTGAGTCCTCATCTTTCCCCTGAGAACAGGAAGCTAGATGCCGCGTGGCATGCAGGGACTTACGCGTGGGTGCAGGGACGAACCCAAGCCGGCTTCACCTAGCACCGAGCATGGGGCCGTGTCTATCTGTGAGCACTGCTTGGTGATAAGAACTCTGGGTCATCCAGTCCCTCGACTCTAGGTGGAAGCAGGCAGCACCTGCCCCCTCTGCGCAGTGACAGCCCCCACCCAGGTTCCAGGAGCACAGAGTCCCTGCTGTGCTGGCCTGGGCCACTTCCCCCAGGACATACCTGGCTGCACGGACTCCTGCCTGTCATCTCCGATGGGCCTTTTCACACCCGTGTCACAGTCTGGGGAGATACCAGGAAAGAGTAAGGCCTCCGAGAGCTGCGGGTGCCTCGCTTCAGGTGTGTGTGCTGGCGTGAGTGTTTATGTGAGTGTGAGGGGTTCTGGGCAGGCTGCGGTGCAGGCAGGGATCTGAAGGTAACATCTGAGCCTATGTGCCCAGGACATCGGGGGGCTGGGAAGCCCTGTGGGCATCGTCTTATGTGCCCACAGCAATGCCACGTGCCTTGCTCCTGCCAGACTCCTGGGAACATAGGTGGGGGGGGCTGGCCAGGGTCCGACCCCAGGAGACACAGAGCTGTACCCTCGTACCTGTCTGTCCTGGGCTGCCTGGGGGGCCCGGAGGACCCGGGAGGCCCGGGGGACCGGGGAACCCTGCATCTCCGGGGAAGCCCTGCTCTCCCTTGGGGCCTGGCAAGCCTAGTCCTGGGAGTCCCGTCTCTCCTGGGATCCCCTTGGTCCCGGGAGCTCCTGGGTAACCGGCATCTCCTGGAGGGCCTTTGATGCCGTCGCCCTGTGAGGAAATCCAGGTTATTGCAAAATAAGACAAATGTTACAAGCATCCCCAACTTCTAACGTCTGAGACAGAACAGAAGGACCACAGCCCCCCCCCCCCGGCTCTAGGCGCCAGGCAACACCGCCACTGGCCCCAGCCCAGCCCTGCTCAAGTTTTATTTTGAGACAGTGTCTCCCTGAGCTGACTGGGTTGGCCTCCAACTGGCAATCTTCTTGCCTCAGCCTCCTGAGTTGGCTCTTTGGAATTTCAGGCTGCCCGGCACACCTGGCTCAGACAGGCTTCTTAAGAAGTGGACCACAGGGTTACCTGCGCCCTTCAGCCAAAGGACACCTGAGCCATGTGTAGCAGCACAGTGGGTGAGACCCACACGAAGGCCATGGGGCGCGGGCTGTGGAGCCGGTGCAGAGAGGCCAGGAATCAGGTTGGGGGTGGGGGAGGAAGGGGGTACAGGCTGCCTCCTCATGAGAGGCTGAGTCTGAACGCCAATGGGCAAGTGGGCCACTTGTGTGGACAGGAGGAGTGGGCTTCTGCCACCCACTGTAGAACTCTGCTTTTTGAGGTCTTGCTCACATTACACTGTGAGGAAAATTTATTTAATCTTTGACTTTAATGTTCCTTCTGAGTGTGGCTTTCAGTAACTCACTATCACTCCTAGACCCTAATTCCTCAGGTTTTACTTTTCCCTAAAGACAGAACCTTTCTGTGCGGCACATTTGGGCTCTCATGCCAAGCCCCAGACTCCTGGCATCTCAGAAGTCATGAGCACATGTGACCCCAGGAGAGGGCCAGGCGCACTGGCCCTGAGCGGCTACTCACGGGAGGCCCCGGAAGTCCAGGGAAGCCATCCAGCCCATCGCGGCCTGGGGTCCCATCGTCACCCTTCATGCCGTGCACTCCGGGGATGCCAGGCTGCCCCTTCTCACCTGGAAAGGGTTTGCAAGTGAGTGCATGCATTTGGGCCTCAAAGGGAGCAAAGCAGCCCACGGGTCACGGCCACGGAGCACCCACCTTTGGTGGTGACTGCCCTGACATCGCCTTTCGCTCCCTTAGGCCCAGGGGCTCCAACGTTGCCAGGGGCTCCCTGCAGACACAAGCAAGCAGGTGTTTGTGCCTCCTCCAGTCAGGGACAGGATTCTGGAGCTCTCGTGTATGCGGCTGTCACTTGTCTCTAAGCCCAGCACAGCCCCAGAGAACTGTCCACAAGGGCAGGCATGCTGTGTCCTGCAAGTGGCCGCAGACCCAGTGGCTGCCAGGCGCTGGGATCACGGCTGGCGGGACTGAGGAACTGCATTTTCGACTATCTTTAAAATGGAAATAATGGAAGTGTAGTGGAAGTAGTCACTGACTCCACTCCCAACTCCTCGCCTGTGCAGCGCCCTGACTGCCACCTGGAGGCTGGAGGCAGGTGCCCCGCCCTGCTCCGGGCAGTGAGCCATGGCCGCATTTCACAGAGGTGCCTGGATTCAGAGAAGCAACGAGCTCAAAGTGCAGTCACGAGAAGCAGGCGGGCGGGAGCCGCAAGCAGACGCGAGGAAGTGGGCATTGACTGCTGAGAACAGGGAGCGCGCTTCACCCTCACTCCTCTGCAGAGGTGTTAAGGCCGAGGGACAGCGCGGCAGAGAGGAGCTGCCGTGGGACACCTGGAGCTGAGGCACCGCCGCAGTGGAAGGAAGCGCGGGATTGTTCCCTGCTTGTGAGGGGCTGCTCTGCAGGACCCAGGCAGCCTGGGGTGCAGAGACAGGACGGGAACGTGGGCCCCAAGGGGACAGAATGTGTAGCGCCGGTGCGAGTCCTCGCCTCTGAAATTCCACAAGGGCTTGATTTATTGACTTGGTTCTTGGTGGAAAAGGGCGACATTCTCTCAGGGTCTTGCACACACACGATGCTGTGCAGCTGTGTGCTGGTCATGGGTGGGCGGGTGAGCTGACTTACTGGTCAGCAGCTGCACTTTATACACCAGCAGTGCAAGTGTTAAAAGCAAAGAAACGCACAATCCACAATTACAAAAACGTCAGGCATCGGCACTGTCGCGGGGTCACCAGGCACACAAACATAAGTAAGCAAAAGACGACAAGCACAGGCAGGGGCAAGACTGAGTCCTATGGGCAGGCGTGTGACATGGGGCACTTGGGTGGCTGTGGCTCACAGCAGGGCCCTCTGGCTCCCAGGCGGAGCTGAGGGCGCCGCCAGCTTTGTGGGTGAGGTGCGCGCGTGCTCATGTGCCCTGCTCCTTCTGGAAGCCTGGGCACCTGGTCTGGCTCAGCCAGCCGGGCTTTGGAGATGGCACTGGCTGTTAAACTGAGACAACACAGAGCAGCTGCTCCTCTTTATGTATTTTCCTGTCATGCTCTAGGAAAACCCAGGACACGGTGGCATGGCGGCTTTGGCAGCTGTGTGTGGCCACAGCCTTCCTGAGTCAGATCCTGGCCGAGCGGCCTGAGCTGCTTTTCTTTTTTAATTTATTGCTGAATATGTAACATGCTGGGCTTCTGGCTTTATACCTCTCTCGTAGTTCTCTTTTGAGGTGAAAAAGATAAATGTATCGTTGCTTCCCCTACACCTGAAATGGCTTTGGGAGCTCCGGCTTGTCTGAGCTGGCCCTAGAGGAAGATCCACAGGGGACGCAGCACTCTGGCCCTCACTGCCCTGTTCTGGGAACCAGGAAGGGGGACTTGTGGGCCTGGAGGCTCTCTCTGCTGGGTTAAAGGAGCCATCATTCAGTGCTCACGTTGGAAGCGAGCGCCAGGAGCTAACGGCTTCATGTTAGAGACGCTGGCAGGAGCTTTTATGGGCTACAACTCAGACCACAGTCACCGATCGGAAGCGTACAATCCCATGAGTTGAGCATCTTTGTGAGGCTGTGTCATCACCACTGGTGTATAACTGTAGGGCCTTTTCATCATGCAAAATGGGACCTTGGAGGGGCCGGAGAGATGGCTCAGTAGAATAAGTGCTTCCCTGGCAAGTGCAAGGGCCTGCAAGGGCCTGAGTTCAATCCCCGGTTCCGCGGAAAAAAAAAAAAAAAAAAAAAAAGATCCTGTGTAGCCCTCAGCATCGCATCTCCTCAGCGTGCCCGTAGGGCCTGCTACGGTGTGTGCTAGCCAGCCATGTGGACACTGTGGGTCATCTGTGCTGCCCGACTCACTCTACAGGCTGTGGACCTGGCTGGTGGCTCTCTCGGGGTCATACATGGAAGTGGCATGTCTGGGGGTGCTGCTAACCCGGCCTAACTTGCTGAGGATGTGCGAGGCTGGCTCTCTCGCACACTGGCTGCACCCCTAAAGAGCTGTACCCAGAGCTCCTTTTCATTTTTATTTTGAGACAGGGTCTTGCTAAGGTGACAAGTTGACCAGATTGGGCTGGAGTTTGCACTCCTCCTGCCTGTGTCTCCCAGAGTGCTGGGATCACAGAGCCCCAACGCCGGTGACTTCCGGAAATGATGTCAGTGAACTGTGCCCCTGCCTGGCTGGCCGGAAGCCCATAGAGCCTCGGCCTGGGAGCTACCAAAGATGACCATGAGGGGGCGCTGTTCTCTCACCTTGAACCCTGGGAACCCAGGGATGCCATGCTGGCCAGGGTCTCCCGGCTCCCCTTTTCTGCCTGGCTCCCCATTGGCACCTGGGAAACCCTTGAGTCCTGGCAGCCCCGGAATGAACTGATCGCCTCCGGCACATCTGCAGTCTCCAGCATCACCTGCAGGGTGTGAGAGGGCACATCGCACTGGTTAGATATGGGCTTGGTGCGCACACAGGTGAGGTCTTGCCAGGTAGCTGGGCTGGCCTCCAGCCCGCAGCCATCCTCCTGCCTCAGCTTCCTGAGTGTGCGCCAGTTCACCTTACTCAATATTTTTGCGTAACATTTGTGTTTTTTTTACTCAACATTTGTGTTTTGACCGTGGCTTGTCTGTCCGTGGGGTCAGGTATGGAATATCTTGTGCTGGCGGCTCAAGTTGACACTCAGAAAGCTGGGGGTTTCAGCTTAGGGCCGCTGAGTGGGATCTGACACAGGCCAGGGGCGTAAGAACCCTCCGGAGGCCGAGTGGTGCGCCCCACCCCCGAGACTCCTCACCTTTCCATCCCTTCTGCCCTCGCAACCCCGGGAAACCGGAATGTCCCGGGTAGCCCCGGCTCCCTGGTGCTCCTTTCAGGCCGAACAGGAAACCTGTGGAAAACCCGACAGCAGAGGTCAGAGCTCAGCACGCGTCCCCTGTGACCCAGAAGATCCCGGAGACCTGCGCAGTGCTGGTATCGAGACCCCCAGGGCTGGAAAGAAACGTAAGCCTGCGAATGTACACTTCGTTTGTGTACAGATGAAACCCATTCCTCAGATTCTGGGCTCAGGAAAGGCGGACGGAACCATGTAGCGTGGGCTCCAGGTGACCATGATTTCAGTAGCAGGCACGCCCCCTGCACCCGTCCTGACTCTACAGAGGGGCACTGTGTGCTTCATACAGCTTCTTCTCTCTCCCCCCTACACACACGCACGCACGCACGCACGCACGCACACGCGTCAAGGATCTGGTTCTCCAGAGACACTGGCCACAGCGCTGTCATCCTTGCAGCCCACTCCAGGTGCGGGCTAAGTCCTCTGCGCTAAGGCAGCCAGCCTGCGGGGAACAGTGCCACCTAGTGGTAGCCACCGGGATTGCATCTCCAGAGTGCAGGCCAGCAGGGCAGACCCAGCAGGAGCTGAGTTCCTGCGAGAGAATAAACCCTGCATGCAAACCGGGTGTGGGCGGCGGTGCGGACTACCATGTGGACTACGTGGCACTGAGGACAGGATGCAGCCACGTGGGGACGGTAAGGGGATGCAGCCACGTGGGGACGGTGGCCAACAGCCGATCTGTGGACAGTGAGAGAGATGGACCAGGACAGGAAGGTTTCTGTCCACCTTCTCGGAAAGTGGAACACGGGCCGCCTCACACCCCTGGGTTCCACTACACTGCGTCACACCCAGGCGGTGAAGTCCTTGAGTTGTCCTAGCTCTTTTATTTCCTGTAATTCATTCATTACTGAAAACAGAGGGGTCGTGCCTCTGGGTCCTCAACTCGACCCTTGCAAGAGCCCAAGACTGGACGAAACAAGCAGCACCCGCACTCGGGCGGGCCCTGGGACTCCGGGGAAAGCAAAGAGCTCCACAGGAGGAGGGCTGGGTGTCACTGGGCTGAAAGACTACAAGCTGCAGAACAGGATGAAATGTAGAGAAGAATCCGACAATTCCTTTCCAGGAAAAGGCTGAGCAAAGGCGCTCAAGATTGTGGAGACTGAATTAGGACAGAACACAAACATTTTCAATGCACCACCGAGGTGCATTCCTTGCCGGGTGTGGTCGCCCACGCCTGTAGTCCCAGCACCCACCGGGGAGGCTGAGGTAGGAGGGTTGCTGTGAGTTTCAGACCAGCCTGGGCTAGAAAGTGAGCTCAAGTCTAGTCTGAACTGCATAGTGAGATCCTGTCTCCAACAGAAAAAAGAAAAGAAAGGAATAAGAAAAGAAAAAAAAAAAAAAAAAAGAAAGAAGAAAAAAAGGTTGGCTGCCTTAAATTTTTTTTTTAAAAAGGAATTTATTTGCCATAGGGTCTTACTACGCAGATCCGACTCATAGTGATCCATGTACTAATACAGTGCTGGGATTACAGGTGTGCACCACCATGCCTGGTTTTGGGGGCCGGCTCGGCATGCTTGGGGTTTCAGGGATTGAACCCAGCTTCTTGCACTGTCAGGCAGGTGCTTAGCCCACCGAGCCCTCTCCCCAGCCCTTGGCTGTCTTTTGCACAAGCTTCACTCTCGTGGGTGTAAGAGAAATGCAAGTGTATCCATGTGTCCCCGAGAGTTTGCCTTGCATGCTTTACAAATTAATGGCTAATAAATTCTGAGAGCATTTCATCCTTTTTATAAATTCGCTCACAGGTCTGTCACACAGACTAGAAATCAGTTACACTGTCTGCAGCTGACTGTGCTGGTAAATCACAGATTTACCAAGCAAGGTTCCTAAGTCAGGGTGGGTGTGTTTCTGTCACTACCGAGCGGAGCTCTGTTGCAGGGCCATCGGTGCACTCCGTCTCCTGCCATGTTTCGCCTTTCACTGTGAACACATGTTCTGTTCTGGAAAGGAGATCAGTGGACACTACCTGGCAGGACGATGCCCTGTAGACTTGGCTGTCACTAACCTCGGCATGTATGACCTCCAGTGGGGCAGAACGCAAAGGCAGCGCTGCCCACGCTGCTGGGCAGATTCGCGTCACACCAGAAGCTTTTCAGGGGAATGTGGGTCGCGGCCTTTCTAGTTGCAAGACAGTAGAGAAAGCAGAACTGCGGCAGGTCAGAACTTGGCCGCATGAACTAGATACAGAGAGGTGACCGATGACTGTTTTCAAGGAAGAAGGTGTATGGCGACAGAATTCTCACACCTGCGACGCTTTCCCACCCAGAGATGGCAAGAAGTAACCTCCAAAAAGCAGCTAAGTTTAAAACTTGGAGGCTTCAATCCCAACTTGAACTGAAACCCAACACCATCCACTTCTGAATACGGTGTCTTCTGCCGCAGCAAGCGAGAGGTCACAGGCGCGGTCCAGAGTGCAGAACTAATTACTCTGAAGGAAGAGGCCACACCGCAGCGGTGCAGGGTCTGATCCCCGAGCCTTCCATCCACCTTGCTCAAGGACTGAGATGTTCTCATGGAGGATTTCATGAGAAATCCTCCAAGCTGGGGTGCACGCACTTCCGCCCCCTCCACAGGGCCACCCCAAAAAGGCGGGCCACCATCCCAGGGGAAACGCAGCTTCCACACCTCTGCCGCTCACTCACCATCTGGTCCTGGTGGGCCAGGAGGCCCTGGGCGACCTGGCAGGCCCGGCCTCCCATCAGCTCCCTTGGGCCCCGGCACGGGCGCGATGATGCCCGGGTCTCCGGTGAAGCCTTTGGGTCCCATCTCGCCGGTCAGGCCTCTCCTGTCACCTGAAAGCCAGTGTGATCACAGCGCCTCGTCTTTGCAGGACTGCAGCCACGGAGGTGAGGCCCCGTAGGGCCAGGGTCCAGGCTGGCCAGCACCTCCAGGCCACACGGCATCACCACCCACTTTGGTCCTAGGCACCCCCAGCACCCCACCAAATAAGCCTGCTCTCCTCCCTGCCATTCAGGGCTGGGGTTGGGGGCACCAGCGCAGCAGGGAAGCCCTGCCTATGCCATATGTGGGACATTACCGCGGTCTCCGGCGGGCAGGCCGGGAGGGCCTGGTAGGCCGGGCTCTCCGGGCTCGCCCCTGCTTCCTGGCTCTCCATAAGTCCCCTGGAATCCTGGGTCACCTCTGACACCTGGAACACAGACACACCCGGTGGCAGGGTGAGCGCTGCATGCCTGGCCTGGGCGTGGGAGCCGCTCACGTGGGACCCCTTCCCTAACACAGCCCTGCCAGGGGCCACTCATGAGGCATAGGACACCTGGGAAAGCAACTCAGCCACATTTCCGCTCAGCGGCAGACAGTGGCGGTCAGCAGTGAAGAGGGCGAGAGGGCGGGGGCATACCCACAGCCAGGACAATGTGGCTTATTTAAAGTTTTTTCTTCTTTCTTTTGCCAGGCGTGGTGGTGCACACCTGTGGTCCCAGCACTGAGGCTGCGGCGGGAGGACTGCTGTGAGCTCCAGGCCGGCCTGGGCTACATAAGCAAGTTCAAGGCAGCCTGCACTACACAGAGACCCTGTCTCAAAACAACCAGACCAAACCAAAATAAACACCAAAAAGATAAAAATGTTTCTGCTTTTGTTTTTGAGAGGCTCTCACTCTGTAGTCCAGGGTGGCCTCAAAATCATGGCAATCCTCCTGTCTTGGCAGGATGGCTGGGGTGCGCCTCCCCCATGGCTACAGATGCACAGAGAGGCCACCTGCCCCCACTTGGTGCCAGGGACGGAGTGCAGTGGGAAGGAGCACCCTGACGAATGGACCCTGGGCCCTCTCTCTGGGACATTTTTAGAAAACATCATTTATTTATTTATTCATTCATTTATTTAGTATAGGGTCTCGCTACACAGCTCAGACTTAGAGTGATGCTCCTGTCTCAGCCTCCCCAGGGCTGGGATTATAGGCATGAACCACCATGCCCAGTTTTGGTGGCTGGCACAGCATGTGGTACTGGGGATTGAACCCTTGTCCTTGCACTTGCCAAGCAGGTGCTTAGACCACTGAGCTATCTCCTCAGCCCTCTGGAACATTTTTGAGAATGGTATAAGATACATCACCAACATTAATTTCAAAATCATGTGCTTAAAGCCTCAAAGGGATTACTTCCACTTGACCAAGGGCACTGATCCTAAGCAGGGGAAGCCGGTCTGTTCACCCCTTCTAGCAGCTTCAGGTATGGGGTGTGGGGGGTCTTGTGGCTGAGGAGACACCCCAGGGCCTCTGCCAGGCTGGGGTAGGTTGGGATCCTTAGTGACTTTCTCACCACCAGCATAAAGGAGGGCAGTGGGGGCATCTGGTGGGGCACAGCACTGTCCTGCAGACCCAGATGGTGGCCTCTTGTGCCTTTTCCAAACCACCAGGGCAGAGCGTCCCACCCTCTGTCCCAAAGCGCATGTTGGGGACACCTTAGGCTTGCTTTGTAAAACCTGCCCGGAAGCTCCCGCTCACTCCACAGCAGAAGTGAGCGTGTTTGCTGCTGTCTTTTGGGGAGCTGCCCCCACGAACCTTTGGCCAGGGCAGGATGAGGTGAGTAGGCTGGCGGGCCTGGGAGTCCGGGTTCACCTATTTCTCCCTGGAAGAGAGAGTGGAAGAGCGTGGGCCTGGCTGGGGCTTGGACTGTGAGCACACTTCCAAAGCAAGCTGGACACTGCCTCGGGCACGGCAGGCAGCTCTTCTGATGTCCCTCCCCTCCTGTGGCGGCGGAGCTGAAGGCCTTAGGCCCCCGCACTCCAGGCCCCCATGCACCCCAGGGTCCCCCTTAGCACGCAGCTCCTCCCCACTAGGGAGGCAGGACACCACCAGAAGGGAAGAGGGCATCACACGGCACCTTTTGTCCTTGGGCTCCGTCGGGGCCTTGGTAGCCATCGTGGCCCCTGCTTCCCTGCAAGATAGATGCACACATGTCATGTTCATCTCAACAGACGGCCTCACAACGTGACCAGGCCCAGTTACTAAGCGTGGTAGTGAAATTAACAACAGTTCCTCAAAATCCCTGGCTGCCCAGGGTGCCCTGTTTTGTGTTGTAGAGTGAAATTTGCCTATTTATTTACTTATTTTGGCAGAACTGGGGATTGAACTCAGGCCCTTGTGCTTGCCAGGGAAGCGCTTATTCCACTGAGCCATCTCCCCGCCCCAAATTTGCCCTTTGCAGCTCCTTTGCTTAAGCCAGGAGCCCAAGCTCGAGCGTGGGCTCAGCGTGGTGGGGCTCATTTCCTCTCAGCTCGTAGTGGGCTCTTCTTCCTCTCCATCTTTGGTGTCTTTTTATTGTTCTTGCTTCTGTGATGGCTCTGCTGGTCCCCCTGCCTCTGGGGGCCGTCTGTTCCTGAATCAGGTCCAGAGTGACTCTTGAGGACCGCTGGCTTTCCCGAGCGTCACTCCAGGGTCTCATGCCACACCCAATGTGAGCACCCTGTTGAGTGACACGGGGCCCGGCACCAAGTGCAAGGCTGAAATCTTCCCCAAGATGGGTGTTGAAAATTTCAATTTAAACCAAATAACTGTTAGAGCCTCTTAACTGGTGATTATTTTCTTTTCCTTAAAAAAAAATCTCCCTAACCCACCAGTTGCTTGGCGGCCCCGCCCTGCTGTCCCTCTTGGGAAGGCCACGAGGGCGTGGCCCCCAGCTTGGTGCCTCTGTGGCCACTGCTGTGCTGTCAGCTCTGTGGCTCACTTAGCTAGGGGCTGTGGGAGCTGAGGGCCAGCGTGCGCGGCCTGTCTAGGCCTGCTGCGCTCTGGGGCTGCCTCGCATTCATGGCGGGGCAGGCAGGGCACTTGGAAGCAGCAGCTCAGTCTTTGAGCGGCAGAAACAAGCCAAGGTGGGCATCGCCAGCCAGAGGTGGAGACGGCTGCAGGGAGACGTGGCTCCGGGCAGCTTCCGGGCCATGCAGCTGTGGCCCACACAGTGGCCACGAGTGGGGTCAGGTGGGGTGGAACCCAGTGCCTTGAAGGAGGCCTCGCCTCAGGAAGCCCTGTGGCCTGCGAGGGGATGTGGGTTGGGTGCTGGGGACCCAGTGGGAGCCACGGCCACCACGCACGCCACCTGGTGAGGCTCTTCTGAGTGACCACTGGCCAGAGTCCTGTTGTCACTGCCTCGGTCCACGCATCAGAGGCCTGAGCAGCTCTGACCGCGCACACATTAGTGTGCCAACACCGGAGGGCGGGCGGCAGTGGTGGGGCTGTCATGTGTGCATCCTCCAGGGGATCCGGGCGCAGATGCACTTGAGAGTAACTCCAGGTACTAGGAGTGCGCTGGGAAGAGGGAAGTCACTTGGGGTGCCTGCCTTCTTCCAGCCCTAGGGAGCCCGAGGCCAGCCTGGGACACAGTAATTGCAGGGCCAGTGAGAACTACAGGCGAGACCCTTGCCTCAAGAACACAAAAGAAAAAAAAAAAAAAAAAAAAAGAGGGGAAATGATCTCTAATTTTTTTTTCTGAAAACTTTAAAATAGCCAAGCCCATAAGACCTTTCCCGACTCCCTCTCAGGAAAGGCTAGCACTAAGTGCAGCTCTGTAAGTCTGGGGGCAGGTTCACGGCTCAGCCCACCAGGCCAAGCCCACGGCTCCTCCACGTTCACTTGGCTGGCTGCTGAAACCTGGTTCTTCCCAACTCCTCCCAACTGCAGCCCCGGCATGAGGTGCCACCCTCGCACCCAGCTAGGGCGTCTGGTGCTGCAGCCAGTACTCTTGGCCTTTCACGGAGCTCTGGGCTCCAGCAGTATGGATCGCGGCAGCTCTGTGTGCGGGGTGCGGGCGGGCTCACGGTCAGGGCGAGTCAGCCAGTGCAGGCTGAGCAGGAGGCCTGCAGCAGCTCTTTAGATGCTCCAGGAGATGGGCGGATGGCTCGGACACACGCTGGCTTTCACCCCTCTTCACCGGGTTTGCTTATCCTCCCATGTCAGCTGGGTGTTGACCTCTGGCCTCTGGCTGGGCACAGTGTGACCAGCTGTGCTGCCTTTGGGAAAGCCCCTGCCCAAAAAGGATGGCAGGGAACATGGGTGTCCTGAGGACAAGGCTGGCGTCGGGTCTGGGCCTGCTCCAGCGTCACAGCGCAGGGAGGAGCATAAGATTGGCATGTTTCCGGGAGCCAGGCAGGCAGGCAGGCTTACACGGTTAACAGTCCAGTCCAGGGCCCGGGGAGCACACAGCTGTGCCTCAGGCTGCTGGAGAGCGAAAGTGGCACGTGGGGGACAAGTGCCATCCCTGGAAGACCGGGCAGGAAGCCCGTGGGCTCAGAGCCCCGCCGCGGCCTGGCTCTCCTGCAGGGCCGGGGAGTCTACTCTGTCGGAAGGACCCACTCTTTGCATCTGCTGCCCCGCAGGGTAGAGATGCTGCCGCACGTGGTTGCGTGGGACCTGCTGTGCTGGCTGGAGGTGGATGCCCCTGGGGGTGCTGATGTGGTGTCCCTGTGGCTCTGAAGCTCACTGAAGGAAGATGCAGAGGGACGCGTAGAGCAGGAGCAGGGCAGAGTGTCACGAGCACACCACGTGCAGATCTGCCGCCGCACCCAGGGGCCAGAGGTGAGGATTCTGGACTCCGGTGAGAGTTCTAGCCCCGCGGGGGGAAAGGCTGAGTGGCCTTGGATTTGGGGCTGAGTCCCTGAATGCAGCAAATGTGAGCCAGACACAATGTCCCCTCCCCACTGAGACCCCCACTTGCACCAGCTCGCACCAGCTAGAGTTCAGTGCGCCTAGGTCCTGCCCAGACCCAGGGCGTCCATCCCCTCAAATTCTGTTCTAGAAAAGCTCAAGATCTGCCTGCAGAACAGCATGAGAATTATTAACTGGGCTAATGCTGCACATAAACAAAGTGTCAATAAGCATGCTAATCTGTAACAAATATAGGTGGAAACCTTGTCACCAGCTGAGAGCTCCCTAAGAGTGACCCCAGTGATAGCCACAAAGAAGGTGGCCTGGCAGGGCATGGGGGCGACTGGGGAGAGCTTCTCATGCCCCTGTGGGTGGAGAAGAGTCACATGCTTTTTTCAAGGACACGCTCTGCCCCTGGACACCAAAGCCCGAGGTCCCCACCTGGCTCAGAGTCTTGCAGCACTCACCTTCTGCCCTGGGAGTCCCTTCTCGCCATCTAAGCCTGGAGGGCCCTGTTGGAACAGAAGACAGAAGGCTAACAGCTCAGACATGCAGCAGGCCTCTCCAGAGGGAAGAGCAGAGCCCTGCAGTGGGTATGACTGTCACATGGTCACCAGGAGCCCTCGGTATCCTCCTGCTGGCCCTGGGGAGTGCACAGCACCCTGGGGCTATGCCTGGCCAGAGCTGAGAGCAGGGGGTGCTGGGGGCACCTGGCCCTTGGGGTTGAGCCCCTCGTCCAGGGCCAATGTTGCTGGATTGGGGCAGCCACTTCAGGTTTTAGGGACCAGAGGCTGCCTGAGCCTGCAGGATAGGAACATGTTCTTCTCCAGGCAGAGGGGCACTGGCTGACAGCCTCAGTACCACAGATGGGGAGCCCGTGAGGTGTGTGGGCTAAGTAGACAAGGGGGTGGGCAGAGGACACCCACAGAGGGAGGCTGTATGCACGAGTGGGGTGGGGGCATTTCAGGGACAACAGGAAATTTTTGTCCTTTCTGTTTCATTTTGCTAGAGAAAAAGCTACTCTCATCAAAGAAATTCTATTTAAAAAGTAAAACCAAAGCAAACAGCCACATGGTTATAAAGTGATTAAGACACACTATGCATGTGGACAGTTTCCCAGGATGAGTGTAATTACCACGTATTGCAAACATATGCTCTCAAAGTGGGACCAGCGCACACGGTGCTTGGCTTACCCGCGTTCCAGGGAAGCCCACGATCCCTTCTTCACCCTTATACGAGATGCCCTAGGAGAGAGGAGAGGGCGTGAGCGCCACCAGTCCTGCAGCCCACACTCCGGCCTGCCTGGCCAGCCTGGCCAGCCTCTACGGTGACCCCATTCGGAAGGTGCCTTGATGCGGATGCCATAGGTCACTGTCACGGGGTAAGAGACACCGACGGACAGCTGGGCAGTGCAGCAGGCTGGGGGGACGAGCTTGAGGGGTGGAGAGGCTCGCTGTGCCCAGCCGCCATCAGGCACCCTGCACCACGGGGACTTTCTAACACCAGGAAGGGTTGAGCGTGACTAACAGCCAAGGCTGCAGGAGCCCTTCCTTGCTCAGATGGAGGGTGGGGGTGGGGTGGGGCTTGGGGTGGGGGTGGGGCTGGGCCAGGAGGACCCCTAGCACGAGCCACGCTCCCCAGAGCGGGCTGGCGGTGTAGAGGTGTCTCAGCAACTCACTGTCATTCCGGGTTCACCCTGGCTGCCCTTTTCACCCTGTGAAGAACAGGAGAGAAGAAAAGCTGGTTACTTCCAGAGCGGCACTACCTGCACCTCAGCCAGGTGAGCGCTGAGATGCAGAAAGTGTTTACTAAGAGTGTAAGAAACCTTTCAATAAGTTAACTGGGCAACCTGCTCAGGGCCCTTCTTGGACAGAAGCTTTCTTTCCCCCAGTAAATATTCTGCTCTTAAAAATAAATAAATTAATTAACTGCAGCCAATGATTCCTAAATTTTGCACCTTCAAAATCAGAATAAAAAACCCTGATTATTTCTTCTAGGTTTTCACAAGATGAACTAAGTCCTGTTTCAGGGGTTGGGGAGGGGCGTGTGCTAGATCAGCCTCTTGCCTGTGCCCCTTCCTTCCTCTCATGGGTCTGTCCAGGGTGAAAGTCCTTTCACCTTCGTGTATGCCACGGTCTTTGCGGCTCATGGGGAAGGACAGGCAGAGGAGAGCCCCTGACGACAACAAGCATCCAGCACAGCGCACGCCTGGAGAGCTTCTATGAGGAAAGACGCGCGGGCCCTGCGCAGACCCCGGCCAGAGGCTCCCTCCGCTGCTTCTCCCCTGGCTAGGGGGCTAGGACAACCGCCGGCTTCCTGTGATCTGCGCCTGCACCTGCAGGCTGCCAGGGACATCTCCTTGGTGGCGGGAGGGGACCCTGGCATGCAGCGGTCCCCTGGCCGCTTGCCCTGGCCCCAGACAGAGGCCCCACGGCCACCTTGGAGACCACACCTGTCTCCTGGATCAAGGGAACCTGTTGGTGTTCTCTCAGCTCGGGCCACGGTGCTGGGTTCTCCTCTACTGAGAAAATGAGCCTCCGTGCTTTTGCGCTGCGTGTGCCATCGTACACCGCCTCCGCGGTCTGCTCCCGGCTCTGCGCTTATGCGACCAGCTCCATTTGACCCCAAGGGATGCAGGGGGCCAGAAAGGGGCGCTCTGTCTGAGCCAGCTGACAGGACAGCGTCCCCACAGCAGGGACAGTGGAATGTTAACTTCCACTGGGGGCCGGGGGTATGCGTTTAACCGCACAGAAGCAGAGGAGAAACAGTGGAAACCCACCTTGACCCGGGAAGCAAACAAAACCCTCAATCAGGTGATGTGCAGGAAGAAAGAAGAAAAGTGGGTTTCATTTTCTGAAGGCAGCAGTCTGCTTGGGTGGCCCCAAATCCTGGCTTCGAGTGATTGGCCCTATAACCTATGTCTACGTGGGAGACTCCATGGAAGGATAGATTTGAGTTCATCACGATTGTGTACATAAGTGCGTGAACCACTGAAGCAATCTCACTGAATCTAGAACTATCTGGAAACATTCAGAACATTCCAGAAGGCTGGCTGTGTTTTATGTACAATTTGCCATTTTGTTGGTGGCATCTTTACCCCTTGGGATGTGATCATCAGGACAGAACCGAAGGGAGTTACCATGCCTTCTCCTTTCCTAGTGCCCTCCTTACCTTGTACGGGAGGATGGTTGAGCTCGTGGGCGCCACAATGGGGTGGGTGGTGTCCGAGGGAATCCCATTGGGTCCGGGCAGGCCCTGCTCACCCTGTGCGCGGTGCAGCAAAAGGAGTTGTTTTAAGTGGAAAAAAGCACGATCTCATGGTAGCCACATCTTGCGTGGGCACATCAACAGATGAATGGATGAAGAAAATAGGTTTGGTTTTTTTTTTTTTTTTTTTGCGGAACCGGGGATTGAACTCAGGCCCTTGTGCTTGCCAGGGAAGCGCTTATTCTACTGAGCCATCTCCCTGGCCCCAAGAAAATACTTTTTACACAGTGGAGTACTACCCTGCCAGAAAGAAGGATAAGACTGAATCCTCCAAGCTTGGGACCACAAGGTCAAGGGAAATTAACCAGAGACACAGCTTAAATATGGCGAGGTTTCTCTTAGGCGAGAACCCAAAGGTGAAATGAATTAAAAGTGAAATAAAGGAACAGGAAACAGAGACAGATCTTTTGCAAATGGGCAGTGGACTGGGAGGGAGGGAGGAGGTGTACAGTGGGTTTCAGTGCGCTATGCACACGCACGGATCCCTAGTGAGGGCTTGGGTGAGGACACTGCAAGTGTGCGTGCGTAAAAACAGAAATTAAGGGCTAGCTACTGAGAAGGGCGCACAACTCGAACAGCATCCCTGTCCCACCGCAAGACTATTTCAATTTTTTGCATATTAACACATGCGTACTGTAATAACTAACACGAAAGTCACCGTGAGGCAAAGTGATCGCCACAAAAGCGTCCCTATCCCCACATTCCCCAGTCATCGCTGGGAATCAACGTGGAGCCTGCAGCCCCTGCGACTGGGCCCCGCTCGCCCCTTCCGGGGCTGCACCGTCCAAGCCCCGCTCCCGCAGCCCCCTGGCCGTGGTAGAGCCCTGTCCCTGCGCCTGCCGCCTCCATGTGACTCACTCCACGGGGCTTTCTTTACCTTTTCACCCTTCTCTCCATAAAAACCAAGTCCTCGGTTGCCCTGGAAAGATAAACGGCTTTTGTGAGTTTTAAAAAGGATTGCAGTAAAATACACTTATATTTTTAGGAGAACGCGAGACCCAGACCTCCCTGTGAGTGCACGATCGGGGCCACGTGTGCACGGCGCGGGCGTGCCTCCCGGGCTGGGGGCTCCCAGCTGCGCCCGTCTGTCCGTCTGTCCGCCCCTGGGCCCCCCGGCCCGCTCAGAGCTCAGAGCGTTTCTCTCTCCTTTCGCTAAGCTCACCCTGGCTTCACGTGAGCATTTCCGCTCTTTTTGATGATTTCAGGGGTTAGAGTCAATCAGTGTAAAGGCTCCATCCAGCCTCTGCTCCTCCTCCAGCCCGGAGCGCGGCCGGCGCTGGTCCCCTGCGCACGGCGCTGCAAGGGCCACCTCCGGGCCGCGGCGTCCGCGAGCCCTCTCCGTCCAGGCGGGCCGGGGCGCTCCGAAGCCCGCGAGGCCCGCGAAGCCCTCGGCCTGCTGGCGCCGCCCAGCCGCGCGGAGGAAAAGCGAAGCCCTTAAGCGAGCGCGTTTGCTGCCGCTTGCCCGGCGCAGAGCGCAGCCCGCTAGGGAGGAGCCGCCGCCCACTCGCCCGCTCTGGAGCCAGCGGCGGCCCGCCAGGAAGTGAGCTGGTGGTGGGAGCGGTTCGGGCTGGCGGTGGCCTGGGGGGATGGGGTCGCCTTGCCGACTTCCGCTGCAGAGGGGAGCGGTCAGGCAGCCTCCGCCCGAACCCCGTTGTTGGGGGCTGCAGGCGCCGCCGAGGTGGTGGCCGAGGTGGTGGCCGAGGTGGTGGCCGAGGTGGTGGCCGCCGCCTATCCGCCTGGGTGGGGAGCCGGGCTCTGACTTCTGCTGCACTCGCGGTTTCTGCTCCACCCCGGGCTGGTCAAACCTTCCCCACAGGCTCGCTCGCCGTGGACATCTGTCTGGCTCCCCCGGGCCACTGTGAATGCCAGCTCTGTCCTTTAAGTTGACAGACCAGCTGCGTGGCACGCTTCCACCACACCAGAGCCACCCTGAGGCCGGGCTCCGCTCGGCTGCCGCCAGACCCCACTGCGTGCAGCTAAGACAGCGCCACCGCGTTCCGGGACCGAGCCGGCCGCATCCCGCCCACGAGCGGGAGATAGATGTCACTACCCTGTCACTACACTGTCACTACACTGATCGAGGCTGCTTGTTGTTTGTTGCTGTTTTGTTTTGAGACAGCTTCTCCCTGTGTAGTTCAGGCTGTTCTTGAACTGGAGATCCTCCTGCCTCGTGTGTGTGTGTGGAGACTACGGGTGTGTGACACCACACGCTCACTGAAGAGGTAACTTACGTCTTTCTTCTCTGCTTTTTTTTTTTTTTAATACTATGCATTATTATTTTTTTAAAATTTTATTTGTTTATTTATTTATTTTGTGTGTGTGTGGCCAGCTCAGCCCACCAGGGGGCGGGGCTGGCTGGCATGTGGTGCTGGGGGAGTGAACCACAGTCCCTGTGCTTTGCTTAGCTTAGCTTGTTCTAAGTAGGTGCTTTAGACCACTGAGCCATCTCACCAGCCCCTCTTCTCTGCTTTTTGCTTTTGAGTTTTGACAAAGTCTTGGTATGTACTTCAGACTGGCCTTGAACTCACTGTGTAGCACATGCTGGCCTTGAACTTGCAGCGGTCCTCCTGTCTCAGCCTCCTGAATGCTGGGATTACAGGTGTGCACCACCATGCCCTGCTTTTTTTTGTTTTTGTTTTGAAAATGCTGCTTTTCCAATTCAACTTTCTTTTTTTTATTTTTCATTTTATTGAGAAACAAATATGAATGAGACAGTTTCAAAGCTGATTAATAGGACAGTTTCAATAATCAGTACATTGTACATTGTTATCTTCTTAGTGGTTATCCATAGTACAAGAAGCAGGCAGGATATCCTGTCCAAACACTATTAGTACACTTCTTTCGTCTCATTGAATTAAGCAAAAGTAGCTGTATATCTATCCTAACTATTTTGTATATATAAATACAAAATGATCTTTCCTTTGTATCCCCTTTTTTGTTTAGTCCTGTCAGAGGTGGGTATTCTATTGGCATCTAAATACTACAGGTGCTTGAACAGCAAAACAATCTAACACTGTCTAGCAGTCTATAATCAATCCAACTTTCTGGGTGTGATTTTTTTAGATAGCAGCAGGCATGTGCAGTCAACAGTGGACACACAGTAAGTCACAGAACACCCACAACTATGGAATGGACCAGGAGTCAAAGACGTAGCCCTGGACCCAACCCAATGCAGTTGACCATTAAGTTTTAAAAACCTGGAAGCCTCTTCCTACAGTAATCTAAACAGTACACAACTGTCAGCTGAATCATCCTGGGATGAAAACACCCAGCCCAGCCCTCCCTACCCCGTCCCGGCAACTCACCGGCTGTCCTTTTGGCCCTGGAGGTCCGGGAGGCCCCTGCACAAATACAAAGGCATTTGAAGGCTGTCTTCTTTATCCCAGGTCCCCTGTACACCTGCTAGGTGCCCTGGGAAGCCACTTGTGCTGTCTTGCAGGGGTCTCCGCACCATCTCGGAGGGTGAGGAGCTGGGCAGGTCAGCACCTCCCAGCTGCCAGAGGCCCCGCTGGCTCTCTGGGCTTGCTGTTGTGTGTTTGGGCCTAGGACATCACCCGTGGCCTGCTGTGCCCCTGTGTGAGCCCCGCCTGTGGCCTTGGCTGTAGTTCCTAATTCCTCTGGGACCCTCAAGGCACCAGATCCTCACGGGAGACTTAATCTGTGGAGCAGCATTTTGGTACATGGCCGACACCAGCCAGTGGACAGTGGGGCCAAGGCTGTCAGATCAGCTACATAGCCTGCTTTGGGTTCCCTGTGCTGTACTGTTTATTTATTCAGTCTTTTCTGAGACAGGGTCATGCTATGCAGTTCAGGATAGCCTCGCCCTCACTCTGTAGCCCCGGCTGATCTCCAGCTTACACCGATCCTCTTGCCTCAGCCTCCCAAGTGCTGGGATTATAGGCCTGCACCACTATGCCCTGCAATGAGGTGTCTTTTTTTTTTTTTTTTTTTTTTTCGGTACCAGGGATGGAACTCCAGACCCTGTGCTTGCCAAGTAAGCACTTATTCTACTGAGCTATCTCCCCCGGGCTGAGGTGTGGTTTTTAGAGTAAAAACTGCAAGTCACGAGGCCTGTGAAGCAGGAGGCAGCCCGTGACAAGGCACTGTAAAGAGCTGAGGACATCACTGTGCCTCCTGCCTGGGTGACTCCTTGCAAAATGGTTTCACAGCACTGAGGAAATTTGCTTTGTGAAAACAAATAGATTTTTTGTCGTAGTCTGAAGGAGGTGGTGTGCACTCGCCAAATGTGAGGACTCAGGTCCCTGAGCAGACGCCGCCCGCTCCTCAGGCTCTGTGGGGCTGGGGCTTACAGCCTCCTGGATGCCTGTCCTGGTCTGGGGTTCCCTTGCTTCTGGCCAGAACCTCCCCTGTCTCACTGTGGAGCACTGAGAAGCAGGGTCTGCAGCCTCCTCTCCGTGGCTTGGGTTGGGACTCCTCTCCTGTCCCCTCCAGCAGCCCACCTTCCCCAGCAACCCCCACCCTCCGCCCAGGACCTTGTGTTCATGCAGGAGGAGGGGTGTGGGAAGCCTCCACAGGGGTTCAGGGCCCAGTCTCTTGTGAGCCCCTGCAGCCGTGGTGCCTGGGTGTGACACTGCCTGCCCTGGTGGCCGTGGCCTGTGATCCCTTCACCGCCCTGGCCATGGCCTGGGCTCAGTGGTCCTCCCACGCAAGGTCCTGCACGGAAGAGCCCAAGTCCTTCTCATGACTGTGGGACTGCGTGCTCTGCCCAGGGTGACAGGCCTTTGTCACATGGCTAGGTCCAGGTCCAGGTGAGTGCACCAGTGCCTGGGAAGCCAGGGTCTAGAGCCCAGATCACTATGAGGTGGCCCCCGCCCTCCCCTAAGCCTTAGCAGGAGCAGCGTGCGTGGAGAGAGGCCTGCTCATCACACAGGCCCCTGGGCCCCAGGCCTGCTGCTCTGCAATGACCTGGGCCAAAGGCGTGCGGTACTCACTGGTCTTCCCGGAGCTCCGACTGGACCCATCGGCCCCACGGGCCCAGGGCGGCCGGGAGGTCCCTGAGGACAGGAAATGAGACTGTGTTGAGGGGGAGGCGTCCTGAGCTCGAGGTTCCCAAGCTCGGAGCGTCTCCTTTGGCAGTTTCCAATCAAGTCCAACTCACCTGGAAGCCGACCAGCCCGGGCTCTCCAGTCTCGCCCTGGTGGAGAGGACAATGGTTCAGGGTTAGCACCTCCGAGAACCTGGAGACTTAGGTTCATTTTGCTGAGAGTTACAACGCCGCAGCCCATGGAGACTCAGCCTCCCTCAGGCGCCTTGGGGCCGGGTTGTCATGAGCCCAGGAGAGGGCGTGCCCCCCAGCAGGACTGAAAGCGTCCAGATGGGCGATTTCGGGTTATCCCCTCACTCCACGAACTCCTTGCCTTCCTCCCTAGCAGAGGGCGCACCTGGGTGACAGCCTCCACGGGGCTGCTTAGCTGTACCCCCACCTGCAGCCACCTACCCTGTATCTGTCACGTTCTTCTGGAGGTAGCGCATAAGGTTCACCTTTCTGTCCTTTGGGTCCTTGCGGCCCCTAAATTCGCAGGTATTTCATGAAATGAGAAACACAAGTGGGTCGGTTAGCAGTCAGCATAGCGTGGTGATTTGGATGATGGCAGCAGTCGCTGATGCCTGCTTGTTCTGTGGCCCTCGACATCGACCTCTACGCTCTGTTCCACGGGTGAGGCCTGACTGTACACTTAGCCAACAGCGTCTTTCCTCAGAGTTAGGATCAAGTGCGGTATGGGGTTTGCTATAGTTTCAAAAGCCTGAATGAAGCCTCCCAGAACTTGTCTCCCAGCGCATCGCGAGGTTCTTTTTCTCTGGAGTGACTCTAGGTGCTCTTTGGCATGAGCCCTAACCTAAAAGGCCCGCTGCAGGGAGAAAGTCGGCCCCTCTTTAAAACTGGAGCTGTGTTCAGGACAGATGGGACGCACACACTCATGTCTCTGCATGAATGTCTCTCAATACCTGCTTGTACTACCAACATTTTAAAGCAATGGATACAACTCTTGGCTGTGAAACAGAGCTTGGAATTGGTGAGCTGGTTGGAACGCAGCACCACACAGAAAAGAAACGGCCATGGAGAGGGAGGGCAGCTGGAGGCAGAGGGGGCCTACGGCTGGGGAAGTAAGTTCTCTGCAGGGTGGAGACAGGGAAGCCGCTGCTGGATTCCTCCCACCTTAGGCTGCTTTAAAAAAGAAAAGCCTTGGGCTGGCCAAATAGCTCAGCAGATTAAAGCACCTGCAAGCAGGCTCAGGGGCCGGGGGCTCGATCCCCAGGGCCTGCTGTGCCGGCCCCATCCCCAGGGTGCGCTGAGACTGGGCGTGGTGGTGCGGGCCTGTAATCCCAGCTCTTGGGAGGCTTTAAACAGGCGGATCATGAGTCCGATCAACTAGTGAGACCTTAAACATCCTGTAGACCCTTCCCTAAAATACAAAAGAAAAAAAAAAAAGAAAAAAAAAAAGAAAACTCTTACTAAGCTACTTTTTAGTAGAACCCTGAATTTGGGAGCTTTGCATAGCAAGAAGGCAGCAACATACGCAGAAATTTGTCAGGATTCTTTGCGAAGACCCTAAACAATGAAGCAGAGCGCAAAATCGCTAACTATATCAGAGTTCTCCCTTGGAAAAGTGAAGTCTCGTGGCGCTCCTGCCTCACAGTGCGCAGAGAGAGCGTGACTTCCCTGGAAGCTGCAGAGCGCTGGCCTGTCAGCAAAGCCGGGTCTACAGGACAGAGAGTGGGGGTCTCAACATGGAGGCCAGGAAAGGTTTCTCGGGAGAATTCAGAGAGGGCGATGTGGACCAAGCCCCAGACTGTACCTCACGTATAGGAAAGAGTGTGGCACCTCAACCCCAGGGCCAGGAGGCCGCGAGCGCTGTGGGGAGGCGGGAGGCTCTGCCCATCACAGCGAGAGGGGTCCCTGCAGATGCCCACGGCCAGGTATCTGCCTTGAGACGGTTCCCGGGACAGTGTCCTCCAGGGGCCCAGCCCGGGCATGGGGTGTGCAGGCTACAGCGGCTTCCTGCATTTGCCCCATGGGTGCCCACCTCTGCTCCAGCTCCCCAAACCCATCCTGCGCCCCGACTCACGGGTGTGCCGGGGAATCCCTCAGAGCCCGAGGGCCCCTGTGGGCCTGTGTCACCCCTGGTTCCATTGCAGCCATCATATCCAGGCCTTCCCCTGGGTCCACCTTGGCCTGGATGTCCCTGGGAAAGAGAAAAGCAGGTGAGGCTTGCAGCCCATACAGGTTGCCAGTGTGCGTGTAACTGCGCTGTACAACAATGTCTGTATTCCACGAGGCCACGGCCATGGCCACGCAAGAGGCCAGGGAAAGGACTTGGACAGAGCCGATGGAGGAGTGGAAGATGAGGCCAGAGGAGGCACAGAGAAGCCCAGGGCCGTCTGCCTGGCTCCTCGGGAAATCTGTGTTGCACAAGGCACGGGCAAGGGCAGCTCCTGGGTGTCTACAGAAGCTCCTGGGGCAGCAGCCATTCCCAGTTGTGCCCAGCCGACTTTCAGATGGTGAGCAGGAGACTGACAGCCCAGAACAGCCGAGCTGCACCCTGGGTGAAGTGCACTGCTTGGCCACGTGGGGCGCTGAGTCCCTCCCCTTGGGAAGAGCGCTCAGGGGTCTGAACCCAAGTAGAAAGTGCTGAGTCTGCGCCTTCAATTGTGCAATTTCTTTGAAGCTTTGGATTTCCTGATAATATATTGCAGAAAGATTTTCCAGAACAGTAAGATGTCTTTTAGATTTCCTTTGAGAATTCTGGAAAGTTTCAAGAGCAACGAATAAACCCTATACCCCGTGCCTCATGCCCTGGATGGTATTAAGAAATTCAAGGAGGAAAGTGGCGTTCTTCCTCGATTGGCACAGCTCCCTGCTTCAGAGGCTGAAGTCACTGCTTCAAAGTCAGGCGAGGGGCTCTGGGAGCCAGAGGGTTGCCCAGGGCCCGTTCACACATGGAACCGTGAGAGCGCCAGCCAGCGCTCAGCGGCCTTGGGAATACAGACACTGGGGCCTCTGGGTGGCTCTGTCCATTTCAGCCCGAAACTGCCTGCTCAAGGTCTGCGTTCTGACGCCTTTGCCTGAAACGTACCTCACATTCTTTATCTGTTTCCTGGATTGTCTGCCTGCACTTTCTTATCAGAACTGAACTATGTCACCTGCAGTAATCATGTAACACTCTGATCTGAGCTTGAAACTAGGCTTTCGAGGAAAACTTAGAGCAGGCCCGGCGTGCAGTGGGTCTCTTGGCACTGAATTCTATGCGTGTCCATAAGATGTGATGGTCAGCTCTCCCTGTGTGCTGCCTTTTATGAGTTTGAAGTGGCTTAACGGGTCCCCAGATTCCACATCAGTGACCTGGCCAGTTAGGATGGGCGCCCTCAGTCAACCAGCTTGAGCGCATCTTCATCCCGTAGACATGCCCACTCTCTTGGGCAGCGTGACCACTTCCTCCTAAGTGACAAGCTATCCACTTCCAAACCAAATGAGTTCACAGCAGAAACGAGTGGCAACGAGGGACAGATTCCTTTCTGTCTTATCTCAGTGTTACTTTAGGGTTTTAGGGTTCCAAAGACAGCCAACGTACTGTCCAGAGTCAAAACAAAGTTTAAAAGCTGGTGACTTAGTCTTAGACCATGTTTAGGAAAACCTTCTAACAGGTATTCCCTGATCCTGCGTCTCCTGACCCCAGCGTGACAGCTGCTTCCCCTGCTCCTGCCTTGAGGTGTCCAGCACCGCCTGAGCTGCCCGAGGTGACACTGAGCTCCCTGGCCACAGAGTCTCAGCGTGCTTCTCCGCTTCCTTCTACACTTATGGAGCCTCCCTGACACACGCCCGGCATGGACTCCTGTTAATGAGCACTGTTCCTTGTCTGTGTATGCATGTGTGTGCGCACGTGTAGAAGTGTGGGCATGCGTGCCCCACGTGTGTGTGCGCGCGCGCACGTGCAGTGTTCGTGCATGTGTGCACATACGTGTGGCAATGGAGAAGATACATGTGTAGCTTAGGGCGCCAACATCTGCATGTCTGCGAGGTTGGGGAAGCAGATGTCTCGGAAGCACAGGCGCAGACAGGGAGGGCGCAGGACGCGTGATAAACACGCTTATCCGAGGTCAGATCTGGCCAGGAGTCCAGCCTGGGAACGCTGTGCGGCCTCCCTGCAGAGCGTGCAGTGAGTCAGGCTGATCGTTTGTCATCTCATGCCACAAGAAGTAAAGTAAACTAGGTTACAAAAACACATTCTACTGCCTTACGAGATTTTCTCATGCACTAACCATGCCTTCCCCCTTGCTCATGTTCCGTGTGGTTACCCAAGGGGGCTGGCTGTGTCCTGGCTGTCCAGGTCCCCAAGAAGCCACCCCTCCTCCCGACCACGTCCATGTGGCTCGAGGCCTGTGTGCTCCAGCGTCGGTGAGGAAGTGGCCCCACTCTGAGTGGGATCCAAAGGAAAGCCACCCTGAGCGCGCCCACGGCTGCGCTCCCCCACCAAGGGGGCCTCTTCCCCAGGCTCTGAGCACGCCCCTCTGCAGGGCTCGCAGAAGCTTTAGAACCCAGACTCTGACTTACGGGAATTCCGTCAGCTCCAGGAAATCCAGAAACACCTCTTGGGCCCTGTGACGGAGACAAACAAATCAGCCAGGGCCAACACACCCCACATCCCCCAGCAGCGGCCCGGCCATGGCCTTACCACGTCTCCTTTGGGTCCTGGCGTCCCAGGGGAGCCTCGCTCGCCCTTGTCACCCTTGCGGCCCTGCAGCCCTGGGAATCCTTGCAGTCCTGGTGGCCCACTGAAGCCTTGGGGGCCCACTGGCCCGGGCTGACCCTGTGTGACAACACACATCCAATTTCACAATTAAAACAAGATACCTATGGTGCATACCTGTCATCCTAGCCCCGAGAGGCTGAGGCAGGGGGAGGGTCACAAGCTGCGGCCTGGCCTGAACACTCTCAGTTGAGTGAGATTCTGTCTCAGAAGGAGAAATAAAAACAGGCAGCGGATGTAGCTCTGTGCAGAGGCCGTGGCTTCAATCCCCAGAACTGCAAAAAGCAAAAAGAACAACCCCCAAATCACACCCCCAGTCACTCATTTCCTGCCACCGCCACCACCATCCACACTGTTCATTCCCACAGACCTAGGGGCTTCTGAGAGCACAAAGCAAGCACCCTCCCTACCGCGGCAGCGTCAGAGGAGTTTCTGGCCCAAGAAAGAGGCCGCAGAGTTCACAGGGAGTAGATGAAGATGAGACAACGTGATTCTGGACAGCTAAGGCCATGTCGCCTTGAGGTGACAGTCCTGGTGGGCATGCGAGGAATCGACTCGCTTGGCTTCTCTCTACTTTCTGCTGCTAAAATTTGAGTCCCAAACAGCTCTATACAGCCTTGTCTGTTTCCTTAGCTCCGTGTGTGTCCTACGCTCTAGAAATACTCCTCAGCGTCCAGGTGCCAAGCACAGTGCTGATCTCTGTCCTGTTTACACTTAACAGGAAGAATAAATGGTCACGCAGCATGGAAAACCACGTCGCCACGCCCACCGTGGTGGCGAGTGGCAGGGCCTTGGGGTGATCAGAGAGATAAATGGCTCCTGTGGAGGCAGTGTGGTGCTATCTCAGGTTGAAGTCACTGTGTGACCTAGCACCTCAAGACAGGGCAGGGCCTGGGAGGGGAGGCAGGGCTGCGGAGGCCCCAGGCACACCCGTTCACAGCACGTGGTTGGCGTGGCCCAAGGACCATCCTCAGATGAGAGGACACGGTGTGTGCAGGGCAGCATGGAGCAGCCGCCCCTTGGCCCAGAGAGGAGCCCAGCAGGCGCGCTTGTGCGTGGAAGGGAGGAGGGGCCGGGCCGGCAGGCGCTTCTGCCGGGGAGCTCTTGGGCCCTTCAGGAAGCCGATCAACGTCTGGAAGTCGGTGACAGCAGGGAACGCACACCGCACCGTGACTGCGTGCGCAGTGCCACGGGACAGCACACCTAACGCTGGCAGAGAGGGCGAGCTGCATCTGTGGGACGCTTTGATTTCTGGAGGGGGGCTCTCTCTATGCAGCCCACGCTGGTGTTGAGCTCACACTGATCCTCTTGCCGAAGCCCCAGAGTGCTGGGGTTGCCAGCAGGACCCACCATGCCCGCTCTGCTGTTTTAACCGCAATAGAAAATTTAATTTAATGTAAAAATTAAGTTAAAAAATAAGAATACATTAACAATAAATAAAATACATAAAAAAGTAAACACATCTTAAAGAAGAGAATGAGGAGGTCCCCGCGTCACCACAGGGGCAGAATCTGCTGTCAGGGCCCAGGTTGCACCGACACCACTCTCTGTTCCCACGCCGGAGCCACACCCGACCCACTGCCCTGAGTCACAGCCGTTTTGTCCCGGATGGCGGAGGGGACTCAGCGTCCACTCTCTGGCTGGGCAGTTCTTCCCAGTGCTCCACAGTGCTGAGGGGATACAAAGGAGCTGTATGTAACATGGGGGCCGCCGAGGCTCAGCTGAGCCGAGTTCCTGTCCCACAGTCCCAGGAGACCCCTGAGGATGAAGCCAGCCCCCAGGAACCTGGACCCCTCCCTACCACGGGGCGCTTGGGGAGGCTCCCTGGGCCTGGGTATGAGCTCCGGACGTGTGGGTCCTGCTCTGCCCTGGGGTGCTGTCCCTCAGGTGTCCTTTGGTGGGGTGCTGCCCCAAGGGTGTGGGTTTCCCTGGAGGTGACGGAGATGCTGCTAGAATAAGGTGGTGGCTGTGCTGCTCTTTTGTGGAGTGAAAGCCACCAGATGGGATGCTTGGGCGGGGGGGTTTTTGTTCTGTAGATTTCGCCTCAAGAAAAAGAATAGGTGGCAGCATGTTCCAGAGAAGAAAGAGGGAAGTTTCCCTGTGCAGCTAGGCTTTGCCTCCAAGCGAGGATCTTCAGCTGCGCTGTCCCAGCTGCCTCCATGTCCTGAACTGGCTCCAAAGGTTTCCCTTTTTTAGTCATTTTGACTTTGGGGAAGAGCCAGAAGTCCCACAGCGCCAGATGCAGTGACTGAGATGGCTGAGGACACCGAGTCAGGTTCTCACAAAAGCTGCCTTTCCATTGGGTGGTGCTTGGTGGCGGCGGCAGCAGTGTTCACTGTGATTTTTATCACACCTGGTAAAGACCCTCAGGAAAGAGGACTCCAGAACTGCTGCAGAAAGTGGCCAGGACCATGGGATGAGTGTGTTTGACGCGGAGGGAAGGATGGGGGCGCTGGCAATGCATCGTTTACTGTGAGGAACTTTAAGCACATTAGGTATTAGGCATGGCATTTTCAATGATCCTTATTCTTATTCTTATTTTGTCTCTTTGAGATAGGGTCTTGCTATGAGGTTCAGGCTGCCCTGAACTCACCGTGTAGCCCAGGATGGCCTGGAATTTGCCGTGGTCCTCCTGCCTCAGCCTCCTGCTGGGATCACAGGTGTGCAATCCCCCCCCCCCCGCCCAGCTAGTCATGGCTTTTGGTGGCCAGTGCATCCTGGGAGAGTGGCTCTGCTGAGGGTTCAGCCATGGCTGGTTGCCTCCGCCCCACGACGAGGGCACAGGGCCGCTGCGAGCTCGTCATGGTCCAGGGAGCTGGGGACCACAAACCTCTGCTTCGCGCTGCCTTCCGCCCCCTGGAGCTTGCTGGGAGCGCAGAGTCCCAGCCCCATCACAGGGTCCCTGAATGTGCTTCGGACCCCAGGGGGTTCCTTGCACTGGAAAGTTTGAGAATCACGGGTGGTACCATCAACTTCCCCTCTTGTCTATGGGTGTATGTGGGGAAGCCGGCAGTACCACACAGGGATTCTTTTTTTTGTGTGTGTGTGTGTGTAACCGAGGATTGAACTCAGACCCTTGTGCTTGCTAGGGAAGCGCTTATTCTACTGAGCCATCTCCCGGCCCCAACACAGGGATTCTTATCTTCTAAGGAGAGAAGGTCTGAATCCCGGTGGGACTCCAAGGTTGGTCCAGTGGGGCTCAGGGGCAGGGAGCCCTCTGCTGGTCAGATGTTAGTTTGGCTGCATTTCTTTTGGTCACAGGCAGAGTGGTCCTCACTGTGACAGGTGCCACATTCCACCCCTGGCTCATCCTGGCAGGCAGGGCCAGGCTGGGCCCAACCCACACTGCTCCAACCCCATGTCCACCCGGGATGTGCACTGTCGCCCCACAGAGCTTTCCTGAGCCCTAGAACTGTGCTTCCGAGCCCAGAGGCAGAGCAGAAGCAGAAGCGTGCGTGGGCAGTCATTCTGCAATCTCAGACCAGAGAGGAGACAGGCCGGCCGCACACTGGCTGCAGAGCCCGGCCGGTGGGCAGTGGCTTCTGCTTCCATCCAGAGCCCATTAGCCTTCAGCGTGCTTGGGAAGGAAGCAAGAATTCCATCTGTCAGAGAAGGATAAAAACATTTCCAAGAATAAATATGTGCAGGACAGCATTTTCCTGGTAGAGCAGAAACGAGCTCGCGGTGACGCACGGCCGCATCTGAATGGCAGGAAATCCCTCCTTCTTCCTCAGCTGGCTCTTCCTTTGTCACCATCCATGGGCACCGGCACCCTCCAGACAGCCCCGTCCGCCCCGGGACCCGCCCTTCCTCGCTGGCCCAGATGTGTCCCCGGCTGGGGGCGGCAGTGCCGGGTGACCCTCGGGGAATTCCAGATGAAGCCCTGCTTGCCACAATTAGCAAATATTTCGGATGTCCCCCAAGGCAGGATTGCTCTAGCTGATCCAGGAAAAGTTTCTCCATCCAAGATTTGGAAACGTTCGTGGCACTTAAGGAGGCTGACTAACTTTTGTGAGCATTTGTATGTGACCCTGGGGCGGCGCAGCAGAGCGCAGTCCATGCTCATCCAACTGCGCCAGCTAGTGCTTATCTATTATATTCTATACCTAAGCATCCGTGCGCAGCAGCCTCCCGCGCCGTTAGCCGCACGCCGCGACCCCACTGGAGGCGGCCTTGACTCTGCCCATGACCTACATTGTCCTATTTAATAGACCACGTTCAGCACTAGTGTACATTAATGATCTGTCACACGGAGGGGAAGGACATGATCTTCTCTCTCTCAGTACTTGACGGTGGTGGTGTCAGGGTCAAAGAGTAACGTCTCCCTGCTTTAGCCTTCTCCTCGCTTGACATGGATCCCAAGCCCAAGGGGAAGAGCTAAGCCTGTCAGAGGTGTAGAAGGCGGCGGGAAAACCTGGGGGTGGGTTGGTAAAAACTCCTTACAGGAGGCACAGAGCTCACGAACTGCTAGTGAAAACAGCTGATAAGCTTAAAAGCTTGACTGGCAAAGATACCGGGTGGAATAAATGCAAAGCAGGTGTCAGGCATGCGGCTTCTGCCCAGAAGCTGCCAAGAACCCCGGAAACTCGATGACAAGGAATCTGGTGGCTCTACAGAGAATCCGGCAGAAGACTGGGGCAGATGTCACCATGAAGAGGGCTAGGTGGGGAGCGAGGGTTGAAAAGATATTGCATGTGGCTAGCCGGAGAAATTAAGCCGGCAGAAGGGTATAAGTATGAGAGCTGGGATGGTGACAGGGACACCCCATCTCCAGCTCAGCATGGGGACAGCGTGGTGCTTCCTACCCATGCTCCGAGCTGCCTACCAGTGGCCTCTCCTGGCTTTGTGCTCAGGGTAGGACCACGTGAGACCTGCGTGGGAACATGCACTGTGATTCTAAATGGAGCAGGGCCAGGCAGGACCCAGAGCCTGTCAGCCAATGAGTGTGTAAACAAGCCAGGGTATCCGTGGCAAGGCCAGGAAGAGCAGGGGTGCGGCTGTGGGTGAACCTAACGTGGCTCATGAGAGGGGCCAGACCCTACCCCATGGCTTGCATGCTG